AATAGAATGGGCTTGCTGTGGCGGAGGTGGGCGGCTGTAGTGTCGGGAGGACACAAAATCATCCCAGCGCAGGCCGAGAGCTCCGTGTTAAAAAGCGCTACTAATTGGTTGGCATCTTCTAGGGATATGATGCCCCGGTCAATCACATCCTCCCTCAAGAAAATCTCCGCGGATTGTTCTGTCAAGACATGATCGAAGCTCGCGGGGGAAAGGGATCGGCTATCGAGAGTGCCCCGACGCAGGGGGGATAGCACCCTAGGGGAGAGGTTCATTGGTGGTAACGATTCCGATATGTTGCTGGGGTCATTAGGGATCAGTTCCCTTGAGTTAGCTCCAAAGTCACTTTCAATCGACTCCGCCTCTTCACTGTCGTCGCTGGCCGTGCTAGTTTCGTCCGTGTGTAGGCGGCCCTTGAGAAGGGAGCGCATCTGCCGCATTTCCCTCTCCAATTGAGCCACCCGCGAGTCGGTCCTCTTCCGCGGCCGTCGCCTCTGCGGCGCCACGAAGATACACGTCCTCTTGGCCTTTGCACACCGCTGGCACTGATCGGGAGCCTTGGGATCAGGAAAGCAGCGGACCTTCAAGCTTCGGCAGGATTCGCATGATCTGTTCAATTGTGGCGGGCTGGAGAGGGACTGGACGACATCGGCGCCTTCCGGACCCATGATGGTTGTGGATGTCATTGTGTTCGGTCGTGTCCACTCTGGTACCTCCTAGCCGTTGCGTCACGGATGTACCAGAAATGTGGTTTGGGATGCTTTCTTCCCCGTCTGGAAAGACAATAATTCAGAAGAGGGGAACAGAGAGGTAGAAAGACAGGATGGGTCTGGACTTGTATCCACTCTACATTCAAGCAGAGAGGATTCTAGGATTCCGGGAAAGGAAGAGATAGTTTCGGGTTGAGTGGAGGGCGGAGGACGAAGGATAAAAGAATCAGGACCACTACGGGCAAAGACAAGAAAATGCTTGATAGATCTTATCGCTGGAAGGCAAAACGATGGATCAGGAGCGGTATTATAGTAACGACGGGAGGATGCCCAGGAAATGAGAACACGGCTCGACGGTGATGGGCAGATAGTTGGTGGGCAGATCTTCGCCGTCGGGTAAGGTAAGGTTGAGAGGGTTGGGGGCCAATTGTGTAGAGGTCAAAACGGTTTCATGGCCGGAACAAAACTCCGTACGAACATGCCAACTAGTATCCCGACCGGGCAAAAGCGCCTCTCCAACCCCTCGTCCAAATGACTTTGCATAACCCAACGCGCTGGGGCCAGGAAAGTTCGATACTAGGACACCCAGTTACTAGTCGTCCGCATCGTCGACACTGGCGTGGGGTCGGCCCCATCAGTGAAGGATTGAGCGACAAGAAGCAATTGAATTTAAGAGGTATATTGCTGCTATGGATCAACCAATGTTCGGGATAGTGATCCTCGATCATCATGGTCCTTCTCCCCATTGGGGGTTTTTTTTCTTTTTTTTTTTTTGATTTGTTAGTTACAAACAGTCGAGAGGGCCACTCAGCTGCCCACCATTATCGTATTTGGAGATGTCAAGACTCAAGAGAGCTGACCGGTGGAGCATGGTGTTCGACTAATTCTAGAGCAGCCCACCCCTTCAGCTTAACCAAACTTGGTAATCGGTACAGGTCGGGGAGGAGGTCAGTGAAGAACGGCTATACTTGATTGAGTGATCCCGGCTACCATGTGGACGGCATAACCCCCTTGGGACGGTTTTCATGATCGACCCGGAGACCCTGACCGCCAGGGGGTGGTTTCAGGAGACCGATGGGATATGCCATAGAGAGGAAAGAGAGGGGGGGGAGGATGGGGTTGATCGAGGCGCATATAGACGGAGAAACACGCCGTGATAGCTGAGAGACAGAGGGGGAAAACCTTGGCATTGAAACACACGCCCGATGCTGCGCTTTGACGCCCAGGGCGCCTGCAATTTCAACGCGCGACTTTTGGGGGCGGGTCTCAAGGAGAGCCTGGAGAGAGGGCATGGTTGACGTACCCCATTGTAGGAAGAAGACAAACAGCACGAGGAAAAGAGGGAGAGAAGGTGAAGCAAGAAAGAGACCTGAAGGAACCAGGGAACCCCCAAAACCTGGCGAATCACCGAGATCCATTGGACGGTTCCCCGCAATACTAATCTGGATCAGTGACATGGTCCATCATCTTAGGTCAACAAGCTTGCCAAGGCGAGCTGAAATTTGTGCCCTAGAATGTCGGAATCCGCTCTGGACTGCCTCATCTGGTAGTGTTTCAATCTCCCCACTTAGGTTGCCCACTATCATGATGATGATCTTGCCATATCTTGGGCTTGTGCCGGACTAGACCCCCCTGTTCCGCACATCGTTTCAGTCGATACCTTCCCCCTTGGGATCAGCTTCACGCCTGACAGCATCTGCTCCAATGCTTTGACCATGTCGGCACTAGAAATCGGCTTCCCAGGATATTGCACCTTCAGTGTCTCCCACTAGACTTGTCTTAAAACAATTGGTGAGGGTGGAGTTGGGCACGTTGATCCAAAGGGGCTAACTCCAAGGCCCCCAAACTGGAGTTCTCGGACAGTGTCACTAAAACGATAGGGACAGGGATTGAAAACACTAATAAAGACGATAATAAGATAATTGAAAAAGTATTTTTTTTTTAAAAAAAAAATACTGTGGCTATGTCAGTACCTAGTTCTCGTTCTGCATCGATACGGTTCCTCTCAGTAGATTGAATTTTCGTGGGGACGGAAGAGGGAGGAAGAGAGAGAAGATAAAGAGACAAAACATACACACTTAGATATTGACAGGATGCAAAGTCAGGTGAGGTTCTGTTGTTCCTGCATAGCGGCTTCCCCACAAAATCAAAGGTCAATAGTTCATAGTCGCGTCTCAATTGAAGTCGAATCAATTATACAACCAAAAGAAGAATGATATAACCCAGAGTTCTAGCGTGTACTGTCGACTGGTCAGTATAGAGATGGGCTGGATATCCATATTGCGGCCCATAGCGCTAGTCGATATCAGAGCACTTGATCACACCTTTCAAAGATTACCCACTGTCCGAACCATGGGACTTGATCGAGCCAGGGTCATGGTTGTGATCTCCGCACTTCGCTTACAACACTTGATAGGGGAGTGGTGGACAACAGTAACATCAATCCCATCGAGCACTGCCACGAGACAATTGACAAGTTGACAACTGGCTACCAATTCGCCCCAGTCGGACATGTCAATCACTCTGAAATGAGATGGCGAGCACGCAGGAACGCACATGACACGCTTTTTTGGCCTCCACTCTCCTGATGTTGAAACAGCGGGCTGTGCATGGTTCCAGCTGGCATCGTAGTGAAACGCGAAGGATACTAGAAAGAACAGACGGTGTCCTTACCTGATTGAGATAAGAATGGCATTATGGGATTAAGTCGAGTCGATGGAAGACATGGACGACCGATGGATTGTCACTATTGCCCATCCCCCCCCCCCCTCCCCCCCGAGATTTAACGGCGCAGGGCAGTGCAGAAGGCGGCTGGGGCACCGTAATTTTCCTTTGCAGGAATCGCTTTCATGAGCCAATCCATCCACCATTGATGGCCCCCTCTGAATTGCGAAATGGTTCAGTAGCGCAACAATTTGTCTGTACTGTAACCGTATCTCCCACGATAGTCACTCCCCGGAGGATTGGTAACTACTCTGCCTTGCCGAGAAAGAGGAGCACCATCTAGTGGGATGGATGTAAGTAGCCTAGTGCCAAGTCCACTGGGCAGCTCGATTCATCCGTCAGGTTAGTTCCCAGGGCCGATCCGGTACAATCATCACCTTATCAAAATCGCCAAGAATGTGGTCAATTCAATCCAAGAGGGGCCGACCCCCTTTCTTGCTACTAGCACCAGATACAGCCTAGCACTCCGGAGTACGGAATGCCTCTGGCGCCTTTCGTGCAAATTTTTTGAGTCTCTAGTGCGTGATGTATGGAGTAGACCCTGGGCACATGCTCGAGTCGAGTAGAATTGCCGTTTAGGCTGCCGTATTAGTGCGAAGCACCTCGAGGAGATAGCCTCCCTCACACCGGTGGATAGAGTCAAGCCGCGCAAACTGTACACGTGACAAAGATGCCAAAACAGAGAGAGGGCTGTTGAACTAGTTAGTGGGCACCTGTGTTCTGTTGACCATGGCTCTGTAAATTGTCGTCTTTCGTCTTTCAAGCACTTCGGACCAAAGAGCTCGGGTTGTGTATATCCACGGCGTGACTTAACCATCGCTACTGAGTACCTACTTCGAAGCCAACTCGGCAACGTGAGCTGCCTAAAGCTTCCAAGTTCCTCTCTGGAGGAGTCGAGAAAGTCCAACGTACAGATGGTAAACTCTGTATATCGTAATTACGGGTTCGGCACATTCCCGAGTCAAAGTTTACTGACAGTCTGACTCCTAGAGAGTATAGAGTAAGAAAAACATGTGCAAGTGCCAGTGACTCATACCTGAGTCACCACGACTCTCAGCCACTGCCGCAACTCAGACCAATGCATCACAACTAGCAGGGAACGATACAACAAGGACCAGTTTGATTTTCAGTTTCTGATGGTCATGCGCGGTGCAAAGGCGTTTGTTTTGATTATAGGGTCGAACACTGATGACATCATGCTGGATGAGTCTTCGTACTGCGGCAAGGAGTTCAACTCCTGGTAGGTTTGCTTCTTTTTCTTGGTTTCAAAGAGACAAAAAGAAGAATAGAGAGTTCTAGATGTAAAGACCATGCGTATTTGATGGATCTTTCTGTTCCAACCACTGGGAGGGTTGAAGAGGTTGAAGTGAACCTTGGGAATTCCAAGTCAAATCGATGGATAGATCGATGCTTAGTCATCTGCCACTGACACAATGATTAGTCATTAGCACTATATACATCCAGCCAATGATACCCCCTGAATGTGTCTCCACTCAGTATGAGTCGAACTGTAAGAACAATGAAGTGGCCTACCTGGTAAGCTCAGGTGTCTGACACCGTTCACCATCACTTCGAGAAAACTCTTTCGCTTATATCTATCTGCTGACGGTTCCCCTGACCTGCTGGACCGTGTAAGTAGGACATGGGATACTACACTTTGTCATGTCATTTCTATCTCCCGAGTTCGCTCATGTCCCCACCGAGCCTCCAACCCAGTCGGGGTTGCCCCCGACAAACACCGGAGATGCAGCCAAGTCATCCCAGGAACCGCTAGGTCTGCGCAGCTGCGTCACTTGCCGGCGTCGTAAGGTCCGTTGCAATAAGCGATGTCCGTGCTCGAATTGCACCAGGGCAGGGATTGAGTGCGTCTTCCCGCCTCCTGGGAGAGCCCCCCGCAAGTCGAAGCGCCCCGTCGACGCAGAGCTACTGTCCCGATTGAGGCGCCTGGAAGGGGTCATTGAACACTTGAACGACAAGAATATTGCCTCGCAGGAGCGGTCGAAACCTCCCTCACCGCAGCAATCACATGATGCTAGCGTATCTTCAAGCGAATGCCCCGGGAATACAGAGTCGCCGGGAGACCCTGAAGTTTGTCCGTTCCTCGATCCAAACAAGCCGGCGCAACCACGGAACCTGGACCATGAATTTGGAAGGCTGGTGATCGATGAAGGCCGAAGTCGCTATGTGAGCAATCGGTTTTGGACTAGTCTTGGTGACGAGGTCAGCTTGTTTTCTCGCCCTTTTTTACACCCATTACAAACGGCTTTCATCTCGTTGCTCCTTCTGATACTCAACTTCATTCCAGATCGAAGAATTACAGGATATTTTAGACCCCCCGTCATCGGATGAAGAAGATACATCATCCCCTGAGTCTGCCTCGGGACCGTTTGCCAATCATGACGGCTTTTTGTTTGGTTACTACTCACTTGCACATTCTCTTCGCAGCTTCTTTCCTCCGCTACCAAGCTTTCCGGCGTTGTGGGACATTTACACGGAGAATGTTGCGCCCCTCATACAAGTTGTGCACAAGCCCACCGCCAGGAAAATCTTCATGAGCGCCTCCCAGCAACCCGAGAGTTTAGACAGGAATCACGAGGCCTTATTCCTGGCGCTAGTTTTGGTGAGCATCGTCAGTATGTCACCGGAGCAATGCATGTCGATCCTGGGCAAAGAGCGCGATCTTCTTGTCAGCCGCTATCGGTTCGCCGTGGAACAGGCCCTGTCCCGAGCGGACTTCTTGAACACCCAGAGCTTGGTCTTGTTGCAAGCAGCGGTGATATTCTTGATCGGCGTGCGTCGAGAGGACGACACGCGGTTTGTTTGGTCGATGACAGCACTGGTTCTCCGCGTTGCTCAGGGCCTGGGCATCCACCGCGACGGGTCAAACTTTGGGTTGAAACCCTTTGAAACGGAAATGCGGCGGCGGCTGTGGTGGCACATTTGCATGCTAGATATTCGATCATCCGAAGATCATGGAACCAATGCCCAAATTCACGACAGAATGTACGACACTCGGCTCCCTTTGAATATCAATGACGATGACATTACTCCTGAGATGGAGGAGCCACCCAAAGAGCGCGAGGGCTTTACGGACATGACTTTTTGTCTCATCCGCGGCGATATCACCGTCGCCCTGCGGCGGGTGAGCAACACAGGCCCGAACACCACCTTTTCGTCCACCAACATGCAGTTGTCCCCGAGCATGTGCAGCAAGCTCATCCACGCGACAAACCAGCGCATCGAGGCCAAATATCTTAGGCACTGTGATACTAGCGTCCCGATCCAGTGGGTCTGTGCGACGGTCGCCCGGCTGATTTTGACCAAGCTGTGGCTGGTCATCCATCACCCCATGACACGGCCAGATCAGGGAGTCAGCCTGAACACCGCGTCTCGGGAAAGTTTATTCAAGACGTCGGTGGAGGTGGCCGAGTTTGCTTGCTTGCTGACCACCGACAAGAACACCCAGAAATGGGGCTGGATGTTCACGACGAATATGCAATGGCACGCGATAGCTTTCATCCTGTCGGAGCTCTGTGTACGGCCTGAGGGGCCTCTGACCGACCGCGCGTGGTACGCAGTCGGGACGCTATATGAAGACTGGGTGCGCACGGCAAAATCGAGGAAAGGCATGCTCTGGCGGCCCCTCTCGCGGCTGATGAAGCGAGCATCCGCGGCGCGAGCCAAACAACAGGCCCAAATGCAGAGTCAGTTTGATCCGAATCTTATTGTGTCGAACGCTAGTCTTCTCCCTGTCGGCGCCGCACTACCCACAATAGCGCCTTTAATCCTGCCGCGAGTCCCGGAAACCCAATATCGATTGTCGAATTTGCCAGGAGAATCGCAAGGGAGCTCGTCTACCGGTAGTTTAGACGTCCCAGATCTCCGAGACGGGGTATCAGATGCGATGGATCAAGTGTTCCCAGATGTTGATCCCCTAGCCCCTCTTAATCCCCAAGAACCTTCTCTCGCCCAACTACCGGAGACTGATGCGGAGGGACTGCCTCCTGTACCAGATATCTCTCTGGACCCGATGGAATTCACACAGAACGGCCCGCCTGCCCAACTGAACTGGGATGAGTGGGACGAAGTGATGCGCGAATTCCAGATGGACATGCAAGAGGCACAGACCGAAAATCCCATCGGCAACCTGACGAGCAATGTCTCGGACTGGTATGCTTTGTAACAAGGCCAGGCTACCAACTGATATCTCTTATGAGTTTCTAGGCCTGTGTCTTTCATGACTTGACTGGGGTGTCCTCTACAAAAGTCCTTTGTTAATCATGACTCCCACATGTGTCACGACCACTTCTCCTCTCCGGCCTCTAATTTTGGGCTACTACACAGAAAGTCTCCTCTCCGCTAGGATCGACCAGTTAACCTATTATGAGATACGATGTACGATATGGTGATGTTGTAATGGCTGGCGACAGATCGGCTAGCTGGTTGATACCCCGTCTGATCCACGTGATCACTGTATTATAGCTTATATATACCCTGAAAATAGCAAAACAGTAAATTCTTCAACTAAGGTTACATCCCGCCAAACAATTATAATAACATACAGAACAATGCGCAGGCGTCCTTCACGCTATTGTCCGGAGTAGATACGCGCAGGTCACGTGTACCCGCACTACGTAACCAGCCAAGCATCCCCGAATGTACACAGTAGCTTCATCGCCCATCTACTTCCCTAGTAGTCCTCTCCGACCAAACAATCCACCCCCACCCACCGGGAAACCTTAAAACCGAACCAATTTTCAGCGCTACAGCAATTGACTTATCCACCAAAAGGGATTGGAAGAAAAACACACCAACAATGCCATCAAAGCGCTCCACCGCGGCGGCCTCCCCAGCCGCCTCATCATCCCCATCAACAACAGCGACAACGACAACGACGACAGCCGCATCCACCAAACTCTCCTCCGGTCCCAAAACCCTCTCCGCCAATTCCTCTGCTTTTGAGATCGCGCAGCATGTCTGGCAGCAGTACCTGACGTCCACGCCGCAGCGCACGAAAATGCTGGATGCGTTTATGGGCTTCCTGGCGCTGATTGGGGCCGTGCAGTTCTTGTATTGTGTTCTTGCGGGGAATTATGTATGTGTTATTCCTGCCCTGTAGGGTCGTTTTCTATACGGGTGTCTTTTTGGAGGATGTGGAGAACCTAGAGAGGATCCAAAACAAGAACGAAGGAAAGAAGGAAAGAAGGAACAAATGCTAACATAATATCTAATGACAGCCCTTCAACGCCTTTCTGAGCGGCTTCTCCGCCTCCGTCGGCCAATTCGTCCTCACTGCCAGCTTGCGCATGCAGACCACTAACGGTGGTCCCGGGTCCGGCTCCGCATCGAGTGGGAAGACAGCAGGGAAGGGGAAGAGTGGAGGCAAGTTTATGAATGAGAGTGGGGAGGAAAGCATTTCGCATGAACGGTGGGTTTCCTTTCCTTTTCTCTATTTCCAGCCGGGAAATTACAATTCTGGAATAGAGGACAATTGGGAATTGACTGGCTGACTGACTTGAATAGGGCCTTTGCTGATTTCGTCTTCGGGAGCTTGATTCTGCACTTCTTCTGTATTAACTTTATCAACTAGTGGGATTGCTTCTGTTCGTCCCTGGTGGATGTCGGTGTGTCTTACTCTCTGCTCTGGGGTTAGGGATGGATGGACGGCCTGGTTTGGTTTGGCTCTATCTTTATACCTCCTGGCCGGATTGTCGGACTATGAATCGTCTCGTCTTGTGCGGAATTGAATGTTTGCCATTTGACTTACATGCTATTTGTATACCTAGTTTTGAAGCGAATATCTGTTTGTCTAACTGTCTGTGTATCTATGTATTCATCAGTAGAGCTCATTGCGGTTCGCACTCGAGACTGCCTTTTTTATGCTATATTGAATGTCTAGACAACCACTGCGGGCTATACAAGAGCATACAAACATCTAAGAGAAAGATAAAGATAGCAAAATACTGTCTAATCTATCCGGGTATATTACCATCAACTCTAACACCATCCATCCTATTATGTACACAATAAATACCACACAACTTAGAACGCCCGTCCAGGCTTCCTCTTAACCTGCGGCTTCCTCACCACACTCCCACCACCACCACCACCACCACCACTACTCCCAACCCCATTCCGCGGACTCCCAGCCGGTGACGCCGACGCCGATGATGCCGACGAACCAGCCGTCAAACCGCCCACCCGACGCGCAGCCACAACAGGCCTCCGCACAGCAGACCCCGGCCGAGCCGACCCAGGCCTCGACGCAGGCCGACTGCCGCCGCCGACTTCGATCTCCTGTCTTCGCCGGGCGGGGTCGTTGCGCTCCTCTTCGCGTTGCTTTGCCAGTGCGGCGCGCTCGCGATCCGCTGCGATCTGGCTTTCGATTTCCATGCGACGGTTGAATTCTAGTTCTGTGACGCGCCGTTCGCGCTGGGAGTAGCCTTTTTCTTTGACGGAATAGAAGACGCCACCTAGTTCGGCGAGCCACTGGAGGGTTGTTAGTGAGATGTTGGTTTGGGATGGTTTGGTGAGGCGGGGTATTGGAAGTGAATGGAAGACGGAACAAGGGAAGGAAAGGAAGAACGAAAGAAGCAAAGAACAGAGGAAGGGATGAACGAGGGAAGGGGCGAGGGAAAGAGGAAAAGAGAGCAGGAAGGACATACATGTGGATCTACTGCTGTCACGGTGGACATGTACTCCTTGCTGGTAAGGATCAGCTCGTGGTAGACCACATACTCTGGGACGTAGCCCAAGCCGTAAAGAGCACTGGTCGGATGCAGTGCCATAGTGACGCTAGTGCGCAGGTTGATGAATTCGCCAATACCCTTGACACGCGCGGCCTGGTGGTAGAAGCCCGAGCAGATGCACTTGCGGATAACGTCCCAGTCGGTGCCGCAGCTGGTGAGGGGCATCTTCTGCGCGACCATGATGTCGTGCAGCTGCTCGCGCACTTCCTTGCCGCGCCGCAGCGCCTTAGAGTGCAGGAAGTGCTTGTTGCACCAGCTGTCGGAGTAGCCGTTGGATCGCCACTGTGTGTATACGTGGAGCAGCGTGAGGTGGTCCGACTCTGGGACGAAGAATTTCTCCCGCGCCGCGTCAGATTCCTCCTGTCGTTCCTTGGGGCGGTAGAAGACGCTGGGTACCGACAGCATCGAGACGATCGTGAGCATTTCCTCGCTGCAGCCGTAGTCTTCGCAGGCTGTGATGAGGAGCTTCGCGAGAGGGGGGTCCATGGGGAATGGGGTCATGTGGCGTCCGAGGGAGGTGAGATCACCGAGGTTATCCAGCGCTCCCAGCGACCAAAGCTCAAAGAGGGACGTCGTGATGGTTTCCTGCGGCGGCGGGTCCATGAAGTCGAAGTCCAGGAGGTCTTTGACCCCGAGGGATTTGAGGAGAAGGACGGTGTTGGAGAGACTGGTGCGCTGGATTTCGGGGATGGTCTGTATGTACATCTCGTTCTTATATGCGATCTCCGTGTAAAGACGATATGCCTTTCCGGGCCCCGTGCGCCCTGCTCGTCCCGAACGCTGGTTGGCATTGGCTTGTGAGATCGGTGTGATCTGGAGCGTGTCCATGCCCATACGTGGGTTGTACACCTTGAGCTTGGAATAGCCCGAATCGACCACGAACATGATACCATCCACGGTCAAGCTGGTTTCGGCGATGTTTGTGGCCACGATGACCTTCCGCACGCCTGGGGCGGCTCTCTCAAAGATTCTGGCCTGCTGTTCTGCAGGCATCTGACTGTAGATGGGCAGGATGCTGAGCTTTGGCGGGTCGTTCAGCAACTTCAACCTCTCGTCCACTAGTTCGCACGTGGCTTCAATATCTTCCTGTCCCGTCATGAAAACTAAGATGTCACCCTGGCCTTGGGAAACGTGGATGGCCAAGACCTGCTTGACTGCGCTATCAACGTAATCCTCGCAAGGCGTGCGTGAAAAGTGAAGATCCACGGGGAACGTTCGACCGGGAATGACAAATTCGGGGGCACCGCCGTAGAACCTGGAGAAGCGCTCTGCGTTCATGGTGGCTGATGTGACAATCAACTTTAAGTCCCTTCGCCGAGCGAGCACTTTCTTCAGCAGCCCCATCAAGACATCGGTGTTCAAAGCCCGCTCGTGTGCTTCGTCCATGATGATACACGAGTATTTGTCGAGATCTTGGTGCACAAGCGATTCTCGCAACAGGACACCGTCCGTCATGTACTTGATCACCGTTTTGTCACTCGTGCAATCCTCAAAGCGGATGGCGTATCCGACCTCCTCGCCCAAACCAACCTCCATTTCTTCACTGACACGTTTCGCAACGCTCATGGCCGCCACGCGGCGAGGCTGCGTGCACCCGATCAAGCCGGACTTCGAGTACCCGTCTTCGTGTAGGAATTGAGTCAACTGGGTTGTCTTTCCCGAGCCGGTCTCACCGATGACGACCACTACCTGATTATCTCGGATAACGCGTAGCAAGTCCTCCCGCACGGCGAACGCCGGCAAGAACTCTCTCTGCTCGCGGAGCGTCTTGCTCTTGCTGAAAGAGCTCTGCCCACCCTCGTCCTTCTTCATGTGCTGCGCAAATTTATTCCCACCCTTGTATGTATCCTCCACGGGCAGCGCCACCGCACTGTCTCCCTCATCTTCCTTGACGCCCATCAGGTTGCCGAGCGCCGTGCCTGCCATCGTCGTCGCCTCTTGAGCCTGCTTCTGTCGTTCGCGGTTTTGCCGTCGCTCCCGAACAACTTTGCTCCCTTTGCGACTGAAGACGGCCAGATCGCTCTGCGGGTCGCGGACCGCCGAAACGGGCTCCAGTTGCTTGGTGAAGATCGTGCGACCATCGAGGAAGGGCGGGCGCAGGTCGTGCACCAGCAGATGGACACGCGTGCCTTCGTCATCTTCGGGGGCGAAATCAGCGTCGAAGTCTCGTCGTTGTGCCACGCCCGACGTCAGCATGCGATTCGTCTCCCAGTTGTCTATGTCTTTGCGCTTCGCATCGCGTAGTGTGGGGGGGAGATTGGAGCTCTTCAGCTTTTTGGCTGGTGGCTGGTCTTCCGGCATTATGAAGGGATCTCTCTGACCAGAAAGATAGAAGAAGGGAACAGTATTAACGAGAATATATAGAGAGAGATTCAAGAAGGTCACCAGGAGTAGATGCGCCTGGTGGTTGTTGAGGCAAATGGAAGAATTATTGATAGAGAGAGAAACGACGTTATCGCCGATGCTAGACAAACAGTACAAACACAGGTTGTATCACGTGATATTGTATAGATCCATCCTCGTTCTTGGACGGTAACATACGGAATGATCTTGTTCATAGGTACTTGAAGTCATTGATTTGGCTTGGAGTGGTTTATTATTACTTGCGTCTACAGCTTTTTATCATGAGCCACCTCATTCTGGGCCAGGCGTCAGCCCTAGGCTATGTCCTGAGTTTGCAGCCGGAGTATTTTGCGCCAGCGGGATTCGTTCTCCCATCTAGACGTACATTTCATTGCTCGACTGTATGCGTCTTCGTCTGTATACTAGTCTCTTAAGTGATACAATACTTGGCCTTTTTGTATAAGTAGCATCTAACGCAGTATCTCTTATCTGTTGTCGTTCATCCGTCAAGGTGTGATATGTCGGGGATTAACATTCCACTGCGAAGAATACGCTGAAAGTTTGTACATACATATCAATATAATCACATCTGGATTGAATAATCTTGTGCAAAAGAATGAAGAAGAAGATATTGATGGTGTTAGGAAAGACTCCTCATCTATAGATCACATGACCTTTATCCTTTTGTTTGCCTGAGGCAGCAGACGGACGCTTAACCACATCCAACACCCCGCACCAGCTCCGACAGACCAGACCTACCTTTTGTTATCAATAAAACACAGGCAAAATGGCGAGCCAGCCCCAAGTCAGTCAAAAGAAGCAGCAGGGTATGTGATCTTCCGTCGCACAAAATGTACCGTCATTCCAGAGGCGAGCAACTGACACCAACGCCCCGCAGAGCTCCAGCTCCAGTATTCAAACTTCAAGAATACGCTACAGCAGATGGCGCAGAAGATCGGGGACATTGAGCAGGAAGCCGAAGAACACAAGTGAGTTTGGAGGTTATTTCATGCGCGACTAGGAACCGCGCGCGGACATGCATCGTTCGCTTTTAGGGACGCTCACGCTGACCCGTCCTTACTTCTAGGCTCGTTATCGAAACTCTCGATCCTTTGCCCCGCGAACGGAAATGTTTTCGCATGATGAACGGCGTCCTGGTTGAGCGCTCGATAGAAGACGTTTTGCCCACCTTGAAGACCAACTCGGATGGACTGAAGCAGGTGCTGGCGGAGCTTCTGAAGCAGTACAAGGCCAAGCAGGCCGATTTGGATAACTGGAAGGTGCGTTCCCCTCCATGTTCACACGTTTAACTTGTCAACATATCTGACTCCTTTGGTACCTGCAGAAAAAGAACCACATCCAAGTCGTGCAACCATAGTCGATTTCACGACACATCGAGCGCTGTTTTCCCGTTTTGTTTCTTTTTTGGCTACCATGAGGAGGGACATACTAGCAACTGGGAGACTGGAAGCCCTGAAAAGTCGGCGTTACCGAGAGTTTGAACATGTGTAGAGACTACATCATTCCGCCATCAGCATTGCGGGCTTGGACGGGTCTGGTTCGTTTGCGGTTGGGGTCGAACGGAGTAAAGTCGGAATGCCTTCCGTAGCACGCTCTATCCATACGTCAGCAAATCCACAACAGATATGGGACGATGGGGCGGGAAAAGGGTGTGCAGCAAAAGGACAGTCCGGTGATAGCGCGCTGGGGCGTTGGACGCACTCATGCCTGACTGATTCAGGCTCAAAAAGATATCAAAATAGACCATTAATGACAACATAAGACGATCCGATATTTATTTTTTATTTTGAATTATTCATGTCTTTTCTCCTGTACCCATATATCGGTTTCTCCAATCAATCACTAGTGAAAAAGCACAATCCTTCATTAGGATACGGTCTCAACTTGACATACCGTTATCCTTGGGCCTCTGCGATTTGCTAACGGAGCCTAATTCGGACCAATACGTGAGGGGGCAGGAGGAATACTCGTGCATTAGTCAATCAGGCATTGTCACGCTCTGTGGTTCGAGTGAGTTGGCCATTAAGACCGGGGTCCAATCAACAGGGATGGAAGGCGTGTGCAGAAGACGGTTTGATTTACTTCTTGGCTGCAGCTGGCCTGACCAAGGCTGCGACCAGATAGACGTTTCAACTGGCCTTGTCGACGGATTGCAGATGTATCAAACTAAGATCCGAGTCCGCCGCCAACCCCTCTGACTGGCCGCTTCACATTAGCCTCAACCAATCCTGTTGATTGGGGGGTTTATATCTTTTGCTCTATCGGGTGGTGTTGCTCATTGTTTCGAGTGCTTTGTTTGTAGTACATCAGGTCTTGTTTGAATATTTGGCCTGGTTCCTTTGGATGAACAGCCCTGCTTTGATCTAGATGGAGGTACTGTCTCGAGTCACTAGACTAACTAGGCCGATGTTGATATTGGGCTGCATCAGGGCCCCCACCGCGATTTTCCCGATCAGAGAGGATGCATCACATCCACGGCCGTCGTTATTCCTTGACTACGGTTTGATACGGAGTACTTTGTGAGCATCATTGTTTGGAGAATGACGGCCTTTTGCCGTTATGCGCTCAAACTATCTGGTTGACCTTGATGCCTGACAGCGCATGCGTCGCTGCAGCACCTGGTCGACCGATGGGTGAGGTGGTTCCATTCTCTATGGGGTGCAGATCCTCGTCGTCGACTGTACTAGCTGTTGACTCGATCCTGCTGGAGAGTTGCAATCCGGCGTTTCAACCCAGCCTTGTTCGCAGGCATGACCGGACGGTGATGGTAGGCTGTTTGATGATATGCAATCTATCTCCTGGTCAGAAAAGACCATCTACATAGATAAATGAAAATTCGATCTGAAACGTGATAGCCCAAGTAGGCGAATACCCATGTCAGGAGTAAAGACTAGCGAGTATCTCGATTGTTGTTGATGATCGATTGCCCTCTCGACCGATGATGACTGGATGGAATCACGTGAAATACGGTATTGATACGGACCCCTCCCCAGATGGCCGAGTCCCTGACGTGAGGGTCTATCCTCAATAGGAATAGCGCAGTACAGAGCTGTGTAATACGACTGTAAATGAGGACCTGAGGCCTTCCAGATTTGGGTTGGATTTCCTCTCCCTCTTTCAGGTCGCGATTCTCTCCTCTTCTTCTTCATTTCTATCATTCGGTCATCGAACTTCTGACATCCCGTTCATCTAGTATCATCGCTTTTTAACCCCGTGTTTTGTTGGAGAAGAAACCCCGGTTCGTCTCTCGACCTCATTGGGTGCAGTTACGTCGTCACCAACAACCAGTGATCGTGGCTCTTTGCCAGGGACTTCTGGTTCGCCAATTGACGGTCTGCGGGCATTGCGGCCGTCTCCAGTAAGAATAGAGAGAGAGGTACCTCCATCTATCTATCTACTTGCATCGAATCTCCCTTCACGTTCGTCCAATCCCAGTTTCCCCACCCCCCTTCATCCCCCGAAAATCATCTTGTTCGATCGGCTTACTGTCCTCGGAGTCTTTAGTGCCTTACTGGTGTTGTTGTTGTTCTTCCTTTCCCCTCTGCGCAACGTGCCACACTGCCTAGTGACCCACTGGTTACTTCCGTGTCGCATTACCCGCGTCTCACATCCCGCGCCAGCTTCCCAGATCTCTCTCCGTGTTTGGAGAGCGCGCATACTAGTTGATCTTGCTGCATATTGTTGTAAGTCTAGTCCTTTCCTAGGCAGCATTCCCTCCAATATCTTTCATATTATGAGAGAAATGAATTAGCTGGGTATAAAGGATATATATCAATAATTGAAAAAAAGAAAATAAGAAACCAAAACAAAACAAAAGAAAAGAATAGAAAGGAGAAAGAGAGAAAAAAAGAACTCTGAAATCAGAAATCCAAGCGCATCTCTAATCGTCACTGGACACTTCCCCGATCTTCCCGGACTCGGCTGGCCTCCGCAGGGCAAAGCTATCGCGGAAGCATTGCCAATCCCCCACACGTGCTGACATCGCCCGTCCTCCACATTTAGGCTGCAGGCTACTGTGAAGCGAATCGCTGCCCAGCCAGTCCAACCCACCCCTGGCTTTCGTGGCGCTAGTTCCCAGTCGCGTTCGAGATCGCAAACCCCATCGCGCGCGCACTGCCTCCCTCTCTGACGTGGTTGCCAACGGAGCAATTAGACCCAGTCGCTCTTTCTAAACCTAGTAATTACGACGCGATCCAGAAACAGCTAAAAATCATGTCGTCGGCCTCTCCTTCGAAGGAACCTGAAGTGGATCCTGAAATTCAATCGGGTGAAGAGCAAGACATGGACAAGGACCAGCTAGAACATGGACAGGGTCAGGGTGAATTCGAGGTGAAGGAGCAGGACAGATGGCTCCCAATTGCCAATGGTTAGTCGCGTCTTTTTGCAGCTTCTCTGCCCTCCTGATTTGCGCGTGCCTTACATTTTAGCTGCTGGTCAACCGCCGGCTCTGCCCTACTACACCTGACCGCTCCCTGCGCCTACCCTCTCATTTTGTCATATTCCCCCAATGTCCCTATTCGTCAATGCTCTCATAATCTCTGCGCGCATTGGGGATCGCTCATGCGGGCGGCGGATGTGCTACCCTTGGTCCAATGGCCTTGAGACGGCCCCGAGACTAGATCGCGCGTAAATCTATTACACGGCGACGAGAGAGTCCCCGAGTTCCACCACACATGCTAATCGTCCATCTCAAGTGGCCCGCATCATGAAGCTGGCGTTGCCAGACAATGCAAAGATCGCCAAGGAAGCGAAGGAATGCATGCAGGAATGCGTGAGCGAGTTTATCTCGTTCATCACGAGCGAAGGTCAGTGCTTCTTCCAACCAAGACGGGAAAAGCGTGCTGACATGCCATCCACAAAGCTTCCGAAAAATGCCAGCAGGAGAAGCGCAAGACCGTCAACGGTGAAGATATTCTGTTCGCCATGACGTCCCTGGGTTTTGAGAACTACGCCGAGGCGCTCAAGATCTATTTGTCGAAATATCGCGAGGTAAGACTTGTGCAACATTTCCCAGGCCGCCCCCTTTCTTTCCCTTCACTCTGGCCCGTTCCGTGCTAATGGGATTTCTAGACCCAGTCCGCCAGGGGCGAACACCAAAACCGGCCAACTAGCAGTGGGTATGCTTCTGGAGATCCTGCCACAGGCGCACGTCCGGGTACCGCTGGTGCTCTGGGGGGATTTCCCGGCGCTGATAATGCCAGCAGTGTCATGAACCCGAACCTCGATCCGTCTGAACAGGAGACTGCCGCCTATGGTTACCCGCCTATGGTCGGACAGCCGCACAACGGAACCGGTGGCGAATCCTACTAATGCAACTTGTCTGGGGAGTCATCCGGGAGATCGTCTGGAACAAGCTGCGGTTTGATGTTTCGACACAGGCTAAGAAGGCAGACCGGATTGTCCTGTCGCCGGCTCCCAATCTCCGAAGGGAGATTTCTTGGACGGCCCGCATTTCCAGCTGCTCCCATCCCGGTTAATTCTCCCTGCACAGCATGTTGGTGACGCGGTACGATACAATGGTTTTTATGGGATATCTTTTAACGGATCGGATGAGCCCACCATCGGTGTGGGCTCTCGGGGGCGGCGCTACTAATTTCTTTTTTGTTTTTCTTTTATTTCTTTTGTTGTTTTGCGTGGTTTTTTATTTTTATTTTTTCATCTTCTGTTCTTACATGGAATTTGACGTTCCAGCCCTTGGTCTGGTCCCTGCGCCTTGCAAGGCACGGATGGAGAGCAGCTTGGAACTTGATGATACAATTGGCCGGTACGACGACAGGGCAAGCCTTATCTGAGGGCTGGGAACGTCGAGATCTCCATTGTATCTATTACCTATCCGTGGTTATTATTACGTTGTCAACAGTCTACCAATAGCTCGTCTGATGAAGGATTGGACTAGAACAATATAGAGAGAGTCGGGTCTCGCGGCCCATTGCTTGTCTCAGTCTGATCCATCCGTCACGGTAGAAGCGTGGAGCGGTTGTTTGTGTCAGGGTGTGGATTCTGCAGGGACGCCGTTGGTCGTACGACCTGACTAGCCAGTCTATCTATAGTATCCATACATAAGACTTCCATTGTATCCGTACAACATACCTACCCATACACAGGACCCAATGTACAACATATCTATCTATAGAGTACAACAGTTACATCGGTCCCATTCCCTTTCCACACCTCGCGCACACTCTGCTCAACAACCTACCCATATACAAACCGCCGCCAATTCCCAGCCAACCGCCGAACCCCTTCTTCCAACGGCCACTCCCGCAACTCGCAAACCTGCCTCGTGACCTTCTCCAACAGCTCGTCCATCGCCGGCCCCGCCGTGTGCAGATCACTCTCGACGAGGATTCGATCGTCGGGGAGGGCTTTGATCACTGCCATGACTTTGGCCGAGGAAGGTCCGCTGAAGTTGATGACTGCTGAGAAGGAGAAATATACGTCTGATGGGTTGGTCGGGTCGAGGAATTGTTTGAGGGGTTCTGTGGGGCCGGAGTAGGAGTGCATGCAGATGCGGGGCGGGAAGGGGAGTGGTTGGGTTCCGCCTGGTTGTGCGTGTTGGCCTTCTTGCCCTTCCTCGGCATCGCTGTCGCTATCAGCATGCGCCTCAGCAGCACTATACCGCCGCCGTCTCTCCCTCCTCGACGGTTTCTTCCGCTCGTACCCCGCCCACAACCCGCGCAACAAGGTAACGACCAGCCCGTGCGCCTGCACGCTGTGCACGGAGACAGGCCGGCCCAGCTCACCCGCTAACCGCAGCTGCGCCTCCAGCACGACCTTCTGGTGCTCCATTTGGACCCTGTGTGGGGAGAGAGTGCGCCCTTCGCGCGAGCCTGGCGTTGTGTTCGGATCGCGCGCGGCTTCTTCCTCGTCTGTCCAGGGGCTGGGGAGGCGGAAGGAGCGGTCGAGGCCGATTTCGCCGACTAGGGAGGTGGGGTGGGAGGTTAGACGGGTGCGGGTTTCGGAGAGGAGTTGTGAGAGGGGGGTTGGGGTGGGGAGGCTGGAGATGAAGGTCGAGGTTGGTGGGGGGTGGAGGACTTGGGTGTAGTGGGTTGTTTTGGTGTCGTTGTCGTTGGTGGTGTTGGTATTGGTGTCGTTGTAGATTTGGTGCGCGAACCATGGATGCCAGCCGAAACAGGGGAGGACTTTGGGTGGTTTTTCTGGCGTGTTTGTGTCTGTGTTTGGATTATGTGGAGATATGGATTGGGCTATTTGCAGGACGAGGTCTTGGTCTTGACCGCGTGTGGACATGACTGTTAGAGAGGCGGCTTTCATGTCTGGGATGGAGGCGATGGAGGCCATTGTGTCGGTGGGGTGGCAGTGGGCGTCGTGGACGCCGAGGTGCCAGGGGAAGCTGTCTTCATGGTTGGCGTTTGGTGTAGTCATTATTGGATGTATATACAATATTGTGTAGTCGTGTTGAAGGAGGAGAGGAGGAGGAGAAGATTGATGGTGGGGAGAGTTGATGCTTATCAACTTATCGGTTGGATCGGGTGATGTAATCGTGGGTCTCCCAACTATAACTATATATGGAGAGTATGATTCTACTTGATTAGAGTTAAATTAATAGTTTATTTTCTATTAGGACAATCTACTTCTTCCAATCCACGTGGTGGAAATGATATCCAGAGTATAAATCCCTTGGTTGGAGGGTCTATCGTGAATATGGAATGGACTTATAGGGCTACATTATACAGCTCTCTTGTCCCTTTTCTCTTCTTTCCATCTTACTCCATGTCAAACCAAAGAGTATCTTGACTTCCCAATGCGTGCTCCCAACATGATTAATTCTCTTTCTCACGGCTTGATGGCTGTTACTGCTTTTCATTGTCCACTTTCATCTATTTCAATGAAACCGGCTATACTGTCCGATACTAGTTTGATGCGACAGACATAGGTCTCTACTCTCTACTACTCAGTTGATATCCATGGACCAGAACGCATGCTTTGCATCTTCATACCAGGTCTGCATCCAATGATCCGTACCAATAAGGTCATGGACCGACGTCTGTTGGTGACGCTTACTCCATCCGACAGCGCTCTTGCCTTCTGAGAGACCTTGAGAACCTGCTGCTTGAGATGCCACTGGACCGGTTCAGAAGATACCGTCAACTACTTCTTTCATCTGTCTTCGCAGATATCCAACTCAAAAGCAAAGCATTCGTTCAAAATACTCCGGTACTCTATCATTTCATCACGCTTTAGCTCTCGTTCATCTTCAATCAATCAAACTACCAAGAAACCAATACCCCGTCCCTTTTAGACGCCATGCATCCCTTCATGCATTACTTCATAAGCCGTTTTTAGTACGTTTCCCGAAACGCTCCTCAATCAATCATACAGGGGCCTCCTTTCTAATGTGTGCAGTCACTTTATCGCTATACTGGTCTGCCGTGTGCTGGACGCCATTTGCCTTTTCCTCTGGTGCTGGTGGTGTTTCTTTGCGCTCGAACGTGGATGGATCTGGCGCTTTTTCCACGACCCAAGGAGCGTCGAGTTCTCCGTCTTTAGGCGCCGGTGGGACTTGTGGAGGTGGGCCCCTGTCGGCAGAGATCTCAGCCCTAGTGATCGATATCGCAGGATCTACATATTGGAGCACCCTTATGCACCGGATCCCCCTCAGCCCCCTCCTAGGCCTCCCAAGTCCTCCAGGAACTGCTTCCTCCCGCATGCTACTGATCCTTCAAATGATAACGATGAGGATCCTTCGGAGGATAACAGTGGGAGTTCTTCGAGTGATGACAATGGGGGTCCTCCAGGCGGTGGTGCTCCTCCAGGGAGTGGGAATCCTCCAGGAGGTGGGAATCCTCCAGGCGGTGGTGCTCCTCCAGGCTCTTGGAATCCTCCAGGTCGTGGGAGTCTTCCAGGTCGCGGGAATCCTTCAGGGCGTGGGAATCCTCCAGGTGGTGGTACTTCTACAGGCCTTTGGAGTCCTCCAGGCCGTGATGCTCCTTCAGGCCGTCGTACTCGCCCAAGCCATGGTGCTTCTCCAGGCAGTGGGAATCCTCCAGGCAGTGGGAATCCTCTGGTTGGCAGCAGTCTTCCCGGACGGGACCATCAACGTACGACGAATACCCCCCCACCATGGTGCTCTAGACACTGACTCTGCTCCGAAAGGAGATTATTCAAGCAGCAAGGCCGTTTGGGACAGTCGTGCCCGCGGTCTGCTTGGTTTCACCCCCATCGACCATAGTAAAGGCATCAGCTCCCAGCGTCCAGTGCACCCTGAACAGGCCCCTACGAAGGACGACGTCCCACAACAAAGCTCCAACGATGCAGATAAGAAGTTGCGAACTCGAATGGTCGAATTGCTCCTCAAAATCATGGAAGACGCAATATCCAGCCAGAGAGATAGCGCCTTGAAATCCAAGCCAGGAGCCGAAGCTCCTAGCGAAAAAGCAAAGTCTGAGACCCTTGATAAGAATAACTCGGAAGCCAAGGCATCAAACAGCAATACTTCAGCTGGGGTAGACGCAAATCCTCCACGAAATAACCTTTATGACAGCTCCATCAGAGATTTCACACTTGAAGGAGATGACGCGCAGCACAAAAAAACCAATTCTGAGCCTTCAAGCAGTCCAGAACCCATGTTCACTCTCGAGTTAAAGCAGCGCAGAAACAGTGAGAATGCCCCTGCATGCCTGCTTGAAGACCTGAACTTGAGATACGGACTGCAGAGATTCGACGGCAGCAACGAACCAAATCATCGACCTAACCGTGAAGACGCCTCCATCGGAGATCTCGCTTTTCAGGGAGATGACGAGCAGCCTGCTGCGCCGAGAGGACCCTGGGCGTTGACGCAACAACGACCTCAGCATCAAGAATCTTCCTCTGAACCCTCAAGGAGCTCAGAACGCCGGTCCATTCTCGAGTCAAGGCAGCGCAGCAACAGTGAGAATACCCCGGCACTCCTACTTGAAGACCCGAACTTAACACTCGGACCGCAGAGATTCAATGGCAGCAAGGAACCCAGCGACCCTGGCGAAAGTAGCGAAACTTCAAGTTCCGAAATGCTTTTCCTTCGCCGCCCTAGTGCACTTCGACGAGTGAGCGCCGACCAAAAGCCCCTCAAAACCCTGGTGAGCAATGCGGAGGCCTACGGAAAGTCGAGTTTTCGAACATTTCCTCCTCCGGCAAGGCCGTCTGTATCACCGGCTTGCAACCGTTTCACGAGGAATCCAGGAGTTGACTCTCAGTGTACGCCCTCCTAGTTGAGCTGGTTTGGGGTCGTTGTCTAATGGTATGATTACCGTGACACTGTCTTTTTCATTCTTTCACTCATAAGTGTAGGGTTATGTCTTTTATACTATCATTATATCCCTTGGTTTTGCTATTGTCCTTGACTCGCTAGACAATTTATTGATCATTCACTCCTTTATTATCCGTATGCATTACTTGGGTGCTACGTAGTACCTGTAATATAAAAAGTGGATATCATGTAGAATCCTGGTAAGCCGTACACAAAACAGAAAAGAATATATGTATACACCGTTGTTCATTTCACGTCTATCTATCCGATCGATATGACCTTATCTGATATGATATATGTACATCATGCATGGCTTTGAAAACGAGAAAGGAGAAAGGAGAAAAGAGAATGGAGAATGGAGAAAGGGGGAAATTAAACGAAAAAGACAGTGGGCTAAATCACTCTGGGGGGAGAGTGCGCTGGGAGGAACCAAACAGTACAACAGCTTCGTCGACACCATCACCATCACGACAACAATAATGTCAGCACCAACGTCAGCACACCGCATTGTCAACGTCAACATCAACAACGTCAACAGCGTCAGCGTCAACACCAACGTCAACACCAACAAGAACAACAACAACAAATAATAGATACACTTGAGATAGGGGGTCAGTAAGTGTGAATTCACCTTCGCATTCACTCTTTACACCAGCGAAGCAAGGTAAATCAGCCCACCTAATCCATAGACCGCCTCGCCCTCTCCGAAGCGCCCACTTCCTCCATCTCCTTCAAAACGACACGATTGAACTCTTCCCACCCGTCAAGGTAAACATGGTGTCCAGAGCGTTGAATCACGACAACCTTGGCGGTGCCGCGGTCAGCGCTCCGTTGCTCAGGCGTCGCGTCTTGCAACACCCGACGCCGTTCTTCCTCCATCTTGGCCTTGGCTGCTATCCCGCCCCGCACGTCCATCCAGTCGTGGTCGCCGTACATGAAGACTACCGGGAGGCCGTTCTCGCGCTCGACGGGCTGCACGGAGGATGCGTCGCGTGGCTGGGAGATGGGGTTTGAGGCGATGGAGGAGGTGGATGCGCGGCCTGGGGATAGGTCGGTCACTTCTGCGGGGGCGGGGGTCGTTGAGGATGAGGATGAGGGTGAGGAGGATGCGTTCTGCTGTTTCTGTTGCTGCTGAAGCTGTCGGCCGACGCCGTGGATGCGTCGGATCAGGGGGCTGCGCGCGAAGGCTCCTGGGGCGAGGATGTATGCTAGTGCGTACTCGCCGCTGCCGCGTAGGCTGAAGATTGAGTACGAGTAATCGTGCAGCGCTTTGGCTTCGTCCGCTGGGAGGTGCGAGAACCGTCGAGAGGTCCACCCCGACACCAGGCGCGGGCCGAGTGGGCCGGCCCATCGCACCAGGGTGAAGGGCGAGATGTTGGCGTCCCACAGGTAGGCGAACCACTTGGGCACCATCCGGCGCGGGCGGGGGTCGTTGGGCGAGGTGGTGGGCGCGCCCTTGAGGAGGATGTTGTTGTCGCCCTTTTGTTGCTCCGTGGGGACGGCCGAGGCCGACTGCGCGATGCGCGGGGGATCTTGGGCCGGATCGCTGACGGAGCTGGACTCGGTGGGCTCGGGCAGATCCGCCTGCATGGCGTTCGGGTCTTCGGGGATGCCCACGGGAGAGGCGAGGATGAGCTTGTTCAGCCGGCCGGGGTACTTCAGCGCATAGGCCACCGCCATGTAGCCACCCAGGCTGTGGCCCAGCAGGGTGAACCGGTCGATCTTGCGCTTGATGCGCCACTCTTCTAACGCGTCGATGAACCAGTCCTCCGCCTCTTTGATGGCGTCTTCACGGGACTTGGCATCGATGCGGAAGGCGGGCCGTGTGCTGCGGCCCATGCCGAGTAGGTCTAGCGCATGCAGTTGCCACCCTCTCAGCCGACTCAGCGGCTCGAAGTTCTTGTAGAAAAACCCCAGCCCGGCGCCGTACCCGTGCAGCATGACCAGGTGTTGGTCGGCTTCTTCCCCGACTCGCTCGACGGAGAACTCGTTCAGGGCGCGATTCTTGCCCGCCAGCTCGACCATGCTGGATCGCCACAGACGGGGGCCGTACGGGTCGTCGAAGGAGCTGGCCAACACCTCACCCTGCTGGCTTTGGTCGACCGACTGCAGGCTGCCGGGGCCGCCACTGGGGGTACTGGCCGTCTTGCCCGTCTGCAGGTGGGTCGGGGGCTGTTGCTGGAGGTAGGGAAGGTGGGAGAGCACTTTATGCTCGGCTGCGGCGGCCGGGAGACACGCCCACTGGATGTTGAGAGATACCACCTCAGTGACTCTGACACGTGGTTTGGCAAATCAGGGACATACCCATTGACTAAAGCCTTCTCGGTAGCCGAGGGGAAACCACGCTGAAGGCGCCGGCGTCGCGGCCGTGCCGCGCGCGGCATGCGGGACGTCCTCTTGATGCGACGACATGGGGGTCTCTTGACCTGACAGATCGTCTCCGGAATTCAACGACTCAGAGGTCATCGACGGGGAAGAGGTAAAGCGGCGAGGGATCGTGAAGGAGCGTGTGGACCAGGGTCGGGAGACCTGGTAGCTCAAGGAGGGGAGTCGCGCGGTCGACACTTTGCCACGGTTGAACCAGAGTGACAGAGGGGATGATCTGTCACTCAAGCGCAACAAGACAGGAGACACGTTATAAATCAAAAATCAAACCGATGAGAATAGGCAGCGGTGGAAAGGGACAGATCGGACGGAGGAAAAGTAATAAACACCGTTTAACCCCGGTCCAATGGGAAACCGCCGTGGCGAATGGAGTAAAACCAAGGGAAATAGTCAGGGAAGAGGCGTAAATAGCAAGAATGACGAGATCATCCAGGGAGGGGAGATATCAAAGGGAAGAGAGACAATTGCATGGAAGGGAAAGGTATAGAGACAGAAGAGAAGAAGAAGTAGAAAGAGAGAGAGAGAGAGAGAAAGAGAAGAAACGATGACGGTGATCGGGTATTATACTGCGGTATCTGTATTACCAATCGTTGTCCACTGTTTGCATCATAATATCCGTGTTAATACACCTCCCATACCAACCCAATCTCTCTCTCTCTTCTTCCTCTCCAACTTCTTCTCTCCAACTTCATTTCATCATCGCTCTCTCTGCTCTCTCTCCCTCTCAATCCTCCCTCCTGACGACCAATTCACTCCTGTCGTTTCGATGTTCATGCATTGACTTGGTATTGGGCCGCAAGGGCCATTGACTCCTCTTCCTGATTCTTCCGAGACGATAATCCCCTTACGATCGCCCGAACTCCATCCCCGATCTCCCTCTCGTCTCCCTTGAACAAGTCCTCGGTGATGGCTTCTCCCAGTTTGGACCAACTGGTCAAAGGGTCTCCAACTCCCAGTAACCGATTGAATCCTTCCTCAACCCCCTCTGAACTCTTGCCGACGCCTCCGTCCTCCGGTGCTGAAGACCATGCGCCTGAACATCCGACTTCCCTCCCACATGCGTCGACCCCGGACCCGCTGTCCACGTTGCCTTCCTCCCCACCCCAAATCTACCTCAATCTGCTAGTCCTGGAGACGTCTCTTCGCGCTCAATATCTTTCCCTGCGAGAACGCCGCCGTCAGAATACCTTCTTCCTACTCTTGCTGGCTTCCTGGATCGCCTATTTTGCCTATGCGCTGTTTCTCCGCCCGCGCGAAGATGGCCGCGGGGTAGGAGGCTCCGTCTACTGGGTCGTGGAAACGGGCGAGAAGGTCGCCCTGCTCGGGGGCGTTGTCACGGCCCTGCTGGTCTGGGGAACCGGACAGTGGGAGCGTGGAATCCGGTGGCCTCGACGCTGGCTCTCCATCGCCAACCGCGGCCTGCGCGGCATGAACACCAAGATCGTGGTCATTCGAGGCCCTTGGTGGCAGGAGCTGTTCTCCTACGTGTCCTTCCTGTTTCCCCTATCGTCCCCCTTCTTCCCATCGTCCGTCGGGGATTACCATTACATCGACCGCCCGGCATCCGAAAAACGGAGTAGTCGGCAGTTCTTCCAACCGTCCTACAACATGGAGCCGGACTCAGGCCTGGTGGAGGAGGACCTCAGTCCAGGAGGTGACTACATCCGGCTGCTTCTCCTGCCCAAGTCCTTCTCCCCCGAGTTCCGGGGCAACTGGGACGATTACCGCACCGACTTCTGGGAGAAGGAAAACGAGCGTCGTGCGCATCTCCGCGAGAGACTCCGTGAGAAGGAGCGCCAGCTGGCCCGGCAGGATCATGGCTGGTTCTGGTGGATTGGCAGGAGGGCGTCGGAACGACGACGACTCGCGGCCGCCACGCTCAACAAGCCCCTCCACCATCCGCACCTTCAGCACCACTCCCACGCCTCCAAACACGCCCACCATGATTCCAAAGGCTCCCCCGTCCGACGCAGCACGCGCTCGGAATCGCATTCCCGCACGCCCTCGCGAAGCACCACCCCTGTCGATCCCGACGACCGGCCCCCGTCCCGGTCCTCCGCCAGCGGCCGTCCACGTCGCGGAAGTAACGTGTCCACGCCGGAGCAACAACACACCCCGCCACACCGGAAGAAGCGGAACTCCAAATCCATCTCCCGGGGCATGTCTCCACTCACCCAGGCGCAGATCCGGGAGGGCGTGCACACGCCGTCCTTGTCATCAGACGAGTCCTCCCTCGTCGGAACCCCGGGCGAGAAGCCCAAGGACGCTACTATTCTTTCAACCTAACTGTTTATCTAATTCTGTCGTCTCTACTTCCCATCCTACACCTACTTAACCTACTATATTCCTTGAACTTATACCCCGTTAACACATTTGGGCGTGACTGTCTTGTTGCGATATCTCGTTGCTATCTTGTTCCTATTGGGCTCCTGTGCATTTTAATCTCTTTTCCCTTTTTATCTTCTTCTTTTCTCTCTTTTACCTACATCTTTTTCTTTGCATCATCTTCTCTCCCACATTTCGATCTTAAATCTCGCTATCCGCATTAGACACAGACCAGACACTCCAACAAGGATCAGATAGAGGCGTCTCTATCGTATTTTGCATGGCACGTCACAAACCATCACCACCATCCCTTAATCAAAGCAACAAGCATCTCGCCCGTCAGGGCATACAGTAGCGTAGCAGAAAGATGAGCTGTATAATGTATGTATGTATGTATGTATGTTTGTGTATGTCCATGTACGTAATATGCAACGGGGGAAATGTCCGCCGCAAGGGTTAAGGTTTAAATCCAGCACTTCATATGATTTAGATACTAGTATGAAAGATTCAGCGTATTTGTCTATTGTCTCTCTCTTTCTTCGCGTGAGTGTGTGAGTGTGTGTATTTTGTATGCAAGAAGTATATAGCACAGCCCCTCGTCCAGACTATCCGCGATCCATTCACTGCATGATTTCATAACTCTTGCACCTAAGTAGGTAGTAGTAGATATGCCACTTGTATTGATTGCATCTATTGCAAGCCTGAGATTCCTCAAACAGATAAGACAGATAATCAAACGATGAAACTCCGAGCGCCAGTCCCAGTCCCAGTCCCCGTCTTCTGTAATGGACATGTATGTGTAGACAGATTCATGATTGCAGGAAAAATGTAAGAAAAATAGAAGTAATAATTGAAATGGTCGTCCGTCATTCGTCCACCGGTCTGTCTTTATAGTTGTATCATGTTCTTTTCTTTCTTTTGTTGATGGCTTATTAAATTCGGTAAACGGTGTCGTCGTCTTCGAGGAACCTGTTGTGTGAAAAAAAAAAGTTAGTCAATGGTTGGGCGGTTGATGAGGGATAGATAGGTAGGTTGTAGGTAAATAGGGAGGTAGAGAGTTAGGTGGAGGTAAAATCTTACATCAACTCGTTTCTATCGTGCATAGCCTTCAAGGCCTCAACGGCTTCCGCGTGCTGGAACGCAGGCTGTGCTGACGCCCGGACTGCTGCGTTGACAGCGCCAACAAGCGGCTCCACGTTGGTGGTGTCGCTCCCGCTGAACAGCGTGCCCATCAGAGGACCCAAAGCCTGTCGGAAGACGGCCAGACGGTCTGCTTGGATAGGCTGGGAAGGTGTTTGGCTGGGGCCGCCGGAGGCCGTCTGAGACGGTTGTGATGAGGAGTCCAGGAGCTGCGAGGCGGGGTGCGACGAGGCCACGGACATCCGGGACTGGCTCTGTGTCTGAGTCTGTGTCTGGCTCGAGCGTTGGCGCTGGCCGCGAGGGCTGGCGCCGTATAGGTCTTCGTCGTCGAGTACATCGTCTGGATCATTCGCGCTGGAGTGGGTGGTCGTCGGTGCGTGTGACCGGAGGCCGGTGCGGCCGCTTGATCTTGGGGTGGTGCTTGAGAGCTGGGCTGGGGTCTCGTCGTCGGAGTCGTCGGAGGCGCTCGATTCGGAGTCCTCGTCGAAGGTGTTGACCTTTCTGCGCTTGCGGCGCTCGTCTTCAACGACTTCTTTGAACATGGCGAAGCGCAGAATTGACTCGGCCATCTTCGCGTCCTTCTCGTCGACGCGGCTGGACAGGCGGGACTTGGCGTGGGCGGTGGATAGACGGATCAGCGTTTCCAGGGTACGGGCTGTGATGGGCGAGGTTCTGCGCTGGTTGCCGGAGAGCTCGTCGTTTCGCAGGGCCGAGTACGTGGTGACGATGTGGTCGGCGGCGCCCTTGGTCAGAATGGGCTTGACTCGTGATTTGGCGTACTGGATGTATTTCTTGATGAAAGGGATGCTGATGACTTCGATGTTCTTGTTCTTGTTTCGATTCGAGTTGGCGATACCGGCGTGGAGCATCGCGTTGAACTTTTCGTGCACCTCCGTGGGCTGGTTCTGGCTGTTGCCGTCGTCGAGGCCGACGCCCAAGTTTTGATGCTGCTGTTCGCGGACAGGCGCGCCCTCTTCCAGGCCAGGCTGGCGGTAGCGATGCATACGCAGCACGTGCTCGGAGACCATCCTGTCCTTAGCGTCCTCGATGTCGTCGGTCATAACGAAGAGCAGATCGAAACGCGAAAGAAGAGAGTCCGGCAGAGCGATGTTCTTGTGAGGGTCCTTGTGGGGGTCATATTGGCCGTAGATCGGGTTCGCAGCAGCGAGGACGCTGCAGCGGGCGTTCAAGCTGGTGTGAATACCGGCCTTGGCAATCGTCACCGTTTGCTGTTCCATGACTTCGTGGATGGCCACACGGTCGACGTCGCTCATCTTGTCGAACTCATCAATGCAGACTACACCGCGATCACCCAGAACCATGGCACCGGCCTCCAGCCTCCGCTCTCCCGTCTCCTTGTCAGAGGTAACGGCAGCTGTCAGACCGACACCGGAAGAGCCTCGACCAGTGGTGGCGATAGCAAGGGGAGAGGTGTTCAGGACGAAACGGAGGAGCTGAGACTTGGCGGTCGAGGGATCACCAACCATGAGGATGTTGATATCACCACGCAAGTGCGTACCGTTGTCCAGGTTCTTCTCCATACCACCAAGCAGCATGAGCAAGATCGCCCTCTTGACGTAGTCATTCCCGTAGATACTGGGCGCAAGAGACTGCGACAGCAGCTCGAAGACATTTTTCTTCTTCGCAATCTTGTTGATGTTTCGGATATCAGTATCGGTGATGGGGGCCTGGGCGATACCTCCACCGTTCTTCGAGGACAGCTGGATGACGTTGTTCGCCATGACAAGGGTACGGAAGGTCGAAGATCCAGAACCAGCGCCCCTGTTCCCGAGAGAACGGTAGATTCCGACCAACTGGATCCGGTCGCCAGGTTTGGCCCGGTCCACCAAGTCATCATCCAAAATCACGTCCACGCTTCGAGGCAGCTGACCGGCTGGTGCTCTCTCAGGCATTTCTTGGATCGAGATGGTTTGGTGGTCCATGTACGACGAATACCCATATTCAGTAATAAGCTGGACAGAGGTCCCATGTTAGCTACTGTCAGTAGCCCTAGAAAGCGCTTCACTCACCGGATTCTTCTCGTCGTCCTCCTGGGGATAAACGTTCAAATTCGTGACTCCACTGGCAGTCATCGTCTGATCACGGTACTTCCTCGCAAGGAACCTCTGCTTCTGCTCAACATAGTGCACACTCTGAATCACCTTGGGTCGGACCAGAGCACACTTGGTTACGATTCCCTCGAGGGAGATCATGCGGTTCAGATGGGTGGACGTCAACGTGCGGGGATTGCAAGAGAACTCGCCAAACGCTCCCACATACGCACAGTAGTAGTTCTGTCCTCGTCAGCATCTGCAGGAGTACACCTGTTTCTTCTCCCAATCGAGCGCACATACCACATCGTCAGCCTTTTCCCGCGCCGGCCGATCCAGCATCTCAATGACTTTCTTCAAGGCCTTGTCAAAGGCGAGGGACATCTCAAACGGGGTTTTAAGCAGGCTATATTCCAATTATCAGCCATCTGCAACCCTATCTCCAATTCCATGATATCCTACCTATCCGCCATGTCCCGATTATGCGCGCGGATCTCATCGACGCTGACCTAAACAGCCAATATCAATTAGCGACCCATCCCTTCTCAATGCCCGAAAACACAGAAACCACATACCACTAAACGGCGTAACCCTCGATTCAGCATCAACACAATATCGGCTCGGTAACTTTATCGCTAGTCAGACACATCGTTTCTCTCGGTCGTTTTCTGGGTCCCGGGGAGAAAGGGATGGAATAAATAAAAGTTGGATCTCGACGAACCTTCGCGCTCTGGCATCGGCTGGTGAAAAGTGATAGAGTTAGCTATTTTCTCTCACTCCTTCTCTGTCTTTTCTTCTCTATCCTCCCCCACGCGATATAATAGACATACCAGGATCGAGAAACTCGATAGCTGCGCGCACCTGGTCCTGATTGACCTCTTCACGCTCGCTCATGGTGTCGGTTTTTCGCAGTGCGATGTTATAATATGATTGAAAAATAATAACAAAAAAAAACACCTGGACTTGACAGTAGTCGTGATAATTTGGGATATATTCCTCAATTGGAGAAGACCATGCGGGGGTGGTGATGCTTTTGACCAAGACACTGAGTGGGATGCGGAAGCGGTGTTGGTCGAATCAATCTTCAAAGTGAAAGAAACGCGCTGTCCCAATCGGGTAGAATTGAAACGCGTGGGTCTTGATGGAGACGCGACGCGAGTGGGATGAGTCAGCTTGTTCCGGGGCACGTGTTTTACAGCTTGCCTGAGGCAGATGCAGACTACAGGCTACGGCTTCAACTCCTGACTTGTTAATTTTGCAGAATAGGTGATTCTATGTATACATATGCGATTTATGGTACAGTCAATATCTATATACAGGGTTACATGTTACATGGTGATCCGCTCAACCTTCTTTACCCCGGCTCTCTCTTTATAGAGCTCCTGCCACGTCCTCCTGTGCGCACTTCCATCATGTCGCTCTTGCTCATCGTGCGACCATGGGTCACCGTCTTCGTCAACTGACACGCGCTGTGATGCGCAGCCCGAGAATTCATTCGAAAGATCCTTTAGACCTTGAGAGCTGAGCGAGTCTGTTCGTGTGCTTCGTCGTCGACGGGCTTGTGCTCGCCCATGGACTTATAGTCGTCCACAGCATCTTGGTCCGTAGACGTAGCACCCGATTGCTGAAGTCGCTCATCGCCGGCCAATCCATCATACAATGAACGGCCCTCGTCTGCAGCCATAGCATGAGACTTCCGCTCTCCCTCAGTGGGATCTTCATCATACGACAAATAGCCCTCATCAGCAGACATAGCGTCTTCCTTGTCGAAGGAATTGTCCTCGAAATCATCCTCCTCAGTAGGCAAAGCATCAGACTCATCATTTTCCTCGCCGAGAAATCCGTCATCCAGAAATTCGTCGTCGTCAGCAGGTGCAGCAAGAGACTTCTGGACTTCCTCGTCGTCATAGTACTCGTCATTATCACCGTATGTCAGACGGGTTTCGATGTCGAGATCGTGTTCCTGCCGAGGGTCGAGGACCCTTTCTGTTGGCGGGGGAACGAAGTCGATGTCTGAGAGCGCAGTATCGTCTTCGTCTGTAATAAGCGGTGCCTCGGGCGATGTGTCATCTGAAGCAGCAGGTGGAGGCTGGTTCACTTCAGGCATAGCCCGCTTCACGAGTTTCTCGGAGCTCGAGTCAAGCCGGGCTTCGCCGCCGGTTCCGAGAACGCCACCGGTCCACACGAAAGGTTTGCGGTCCGCGTTACCCTTTACGTCGTGTCGTCCCTGGCGACGCCGGAGCAAAACGCCTTGGAACTTTTCACGTATGTAGGGCATGTCGCTGGCGGCGCGGACGGTCTGTGGTGCCACTTCGTAAAGCTTTTCCAGGTCATCCCCTCCGTGGACGACACTCCTTTCCCGGAATCGGAACAGAGATGCGGCCAGGTAAACCATAGACACGTAGGTGGGTTGCAGAAAGTCGGGCTGGATCTTGCTCCAGTACCGTCTGCCGCGTTTGCCCAGGAGATGGATTGGGAGTATGTTCTTCGGATTTTCAATGGCGACAGTGGTTGAAGGCGCGTGTTTCGGTTTCAGACCATACCCCCGGTGCAGATACCTCCATCCGGGGAAATTGGGCATGAACTTGCTTTCAAACACAGCGAACGCATGGAGCTGGTCGGAAATCTTTTCGGAAGCGGCAAGGACCTGGACGTACGTGGACCAGTCATAGGTTGTCAGAGTGAACCCCGCCGCCTGCACCTCGGCCACGACTTGGTATATCCGGTGGGTCTGGTTTCTATAAGCCAGGGACCGCATGTATAGATCCAAGGGCCGAGAGATCATGAATCGGCACGCGGGCAGAATCGGGTTTTTCGGTGACCCGTCCTTCTGTGAAGCAATGGAACTGGGTGAGGTGTCCTGCTCCATTCCGCTAGTGGGAACAGATGGACTGGAAGAGTCAGTGGCACCGGCAGTCGGCAGCTGACCAGAAAGCCATTGCTCAATGTTTGGACGACTGGCTAGCTTGATAGCCCGCGGGAAAGCCATTTTCCAGCAACGTTCGACTTCGTTGAATTGCCCCGCCTTCAGATGCGTGACCATGAGAATTGACAAAAAGCGAAAAGGGGCTACGTCTTCCACGTTCTTCAGGGGCCCCGGAGGCGGCAGGTAGCGGGTATACTCGTCAAACAAGCTCTTCACGCGTTCGTGGGCACCTCTCGTGCCATACGCATTGATGATATACTCATAGTATATGCCGGGGAAAGCCATACTGACTGCCTGTTTGGCCCCACCCGGCTGGGGCTCTGTGGTCGCCAACTCGCTCGAATCGAATTCGGCGATCGTTTCTTTGAAGAATTTCTCGGCATGTTGGAGCCGCATACGAGACGCTTCGCCGGCTTCGCCCTCTTCCGCTCGGGAGTCCAAATCCCGCTGGAGCTGGCTTTTGAGTACGAGGAGTCTCGAGCTCAATCCAGCCCGACCGAAGCGTTCTTGGATCTCATGGAAGATGACGTTCACCATGTCGCGATTGCGTTCTTTCACGTAGCCATGTAAGATGATTGCGTAATGGAACTCTGTGACGTGGATGTAACGGCTTCGATGAAGGGTCCTCAAGATGCGACGCGCCGCATCTGGTCGTCCAATGAGAGACAGACTGAGGATGAGAGCGGCATAGGTCATTTCATCGGGGTCTATGCCTACCTCATCCATACGCGAGCGAATCCTGGACATGGCTCCCAGGTCCAGTCGGTAGGCATGGTTCCACAGAAGCACATTCCACATCCTGGTCCGCGAACCTCGAATGGTCAAACTCAGAGTCGACTCCGCGATGCCCTCAGCCAGATCCAGTTTTCCCTCGGCGCAGTAGGCCTCCACAATCGTGTCGATCATAGGAGCGGTGACCCTTACCCGGTGTTTTCTGGCTAGGACGAGCAGGTGCTGAATGCTATCGATGTCGCCTTTCTTGGCGCAATGCCCCATCAGAGTGCCCACGGTATGGGGATCAAGCTCCAATCCTTGATCGATCATCTTCTTCAAGATGGCAAAGGCTCCGCGGAGATCACCAGATCTGGCATGGGCGGCAAGCAGCGTGTTCCAGCACACTGTGTTTGGTACGAGACCGAATTCGTGTGAGACCCTATCAAACTGGCGCTGCGTTTCCTGCACGTTTCCAACCCTTGCATGGACATGAAGGAGCGGAGTGACGAGCTTTCGGCTCCGCGGGTTCCCATGATCCGAAAGGAATCTCTCAAAAAGTTGGTGAACGGTAGCCACGTCTCCCGCTCGCGAAAATGCAAGCAGCGCTTGTCGGTATGCGTCCTCGGTTGGCTTTCCATGGAAATGGACAATTTCTCCTAATAGGTATTCAACGCCGGAAGTCGTCCCGAGACGGCGGCGGCGTTGTATCAGTCGGAGTAGAAGACTTCGGGGGGGCTTTTGGCCGGGCATTAGCCAACGAAAATTGCGATAGACAACGAGGGCCCTTTCGATAGTCAGCCGGGCACTCGACATGTCCAGCTTTCTAATAAGGTCGAAGTAATGTGTCGGGGTCAGCAGCCCTAACTCCCTGTAGCTTCGCAAGACCAGTAGAGTGGGCTCTGTCGCAGTGTTCTCGACAAAGCCACGAGTATTGACGAGCTGGTCGAGACAAAAGTGAGCAAAGCCGCGCGCTGGAGCTTTACGGCCCTGCCCCCGCAGATATTCGGAGAGGTGAAGCATGACGGTTGCCAGCTCTGAATAACGTATATTGCGGAGGATATACCTCCACAATGTACTGGTAAAGGACGGCGGCCGTAAAGGCCACAGCTCTTGTAGTAGATCCCAGTGGTCATGCTTCGAAAAAGTCGTTACCGCAAAGTTGAAACAGAGGGCGTCGGAACCTTGATCCACGGCTTGCTTGCATATTCGTGTCACTTCCAAGGGACTCCCAACCGACCAGTAGGATTTGGCCATCCACAGGTAGATTCTGGGGGACCGCGATTTCTCATCGATGCTTTCAAACAGGCGGCCAATCCGTTCATTGTCAAGTTCTCTTCCGGACGAACATAAATATTTCATGAGAGCCACCTTTGCAGCAACGGGTTGGCCGGCAGTCAGGTAGAGTGACCAGGCGCGGTCGTAGTCCTTTGTCTTGTGATCGGATAGTAGCTCGGTAAGGTGGTTGTCAGCGGGCGTTCGAGCTATTCCATCCTCCGCCTGGGTGTCGACGCCATGGCCCCACGTGCCCTCTCCGTCGACACGATCAAGGCTCGTCGCCGCGGTAGTATAACTTTTGGGAAGCCCTGGGATACTTCGTCTTCTCCGTCGGGGGCCCAGTCGCTTCGGGGATCGTAGCAGGCAAGTCACAGCAAAATCCTGGGTATGTGGTGGGTAGAGGAACTCGAGAAACGGAGACCGCGTATCCGTCGGGGGTCTGTTCCCACGGGAAGTGGCGTTTGAAGGACTCGAGATTCGGTGGGAGTTCGTCGACAAGGCGGCCAGGGGACTGTGGGAGCCCTCCACACCAGTCCCGCTGCAATTCCCCAAATTAAACGACAACGACCTTGAGCCTCGAATGGCGCCATTCGAATCCCGAAAGAAACGCCGGCCCGCGCTCTCAAGGCATCCCGCGGCTCGTTCCAGCATTACCATCAAACGATGCGGCGCCAAACCCTGATATCACCGAAAATCGACGAAGCCCGATAGCATATCGTTTCCTATAGCTTCAATTGGGTCAAGTGAAACCCCATGTCAGTTCCAGGCTCCAACCGCAGACGATCCCGATCGGGGGGGGGGAGCGGAAAGAAAAACGTACGGATGCGGAGTGAACCGTGGGAGGGGAATAGGAAGCTCGCAAGATCGTCAGACAGGAGGGGGGGGCGGAAAAAAAATTGGCTGAACAATCGAAGCTCTATCCGACGAATTCAACCGTGTCAGCAACAAGAAACAGAAAGATAGAGAGAGTGGGCGACAAAGCGCGTTGTTTTCAACCAAAGGAGCAAAAATTTGGCAGGACAGGCAGTTTAGCTCGGGATGATAGAAAAGTAAAGAAGGAGCCGGGCATTCGTTTGCCCGAGGACACCACGCCATTTCCGCCCGCAACTGACTTACCCGCATAACAGGTGGCCATCATCGTACCATCATTTACATCGGACTCAACCAGATATTCTCCATCTTTTGGCATAATGGATATCACGGACTTTATTTTCGGTCAAAGAGAGGATAGCCTGGTGGTTGGCAACTATGATGCCTACCGTGCACATGCCACCCGCAAATTGCACAAGTTGCGCAAGAAGCTGGGGTTGACCACCCCTAAGGGTCGCAAATATACGGCCAAATCCCCCATTACTGCGGAGAACGTGGGTAGCAATGTGGCGTATGCTCTCTCCCCTGGGTCCGTCTAGTATCGATTGGGTTGGAACTGACTGTGACTGCCATACTAGCTACGTCCATATCCTACTGCTGAGCTCCGAACGGGCGTGGGCAGAGGCCATGCACATGAAGAATACCCACTCCGCCGACCCCTCCGCCAAAGGCATCGTCGGATCCGCCCGACGCCATATTATTTCGCGGTTGAACAAGGCCACCGGCTACGCAAAGGAACTGGTGCAGGTGCTGCAGGATCAGCCGACTTCGGGAGCGACCGATTTTGACCTCCTCGAAGCCCGCGCATATCTGGCCTCTCTCGCGGGGGCACTCGCCTTGGAACAACGCAAATGGGAGCAGTGTCTGCAGAGCTACTCCATCGCCAGGGTGGTGTATGCGGCGCTGGGCCAACAGGCAAAGAAGGATGCCTTCCGAGATCTCCTCGCGGGCACGGTCGATCCCAGCCTTCGATATGCAGCCTACCAGCTCAAACTGCCCCGCTCGAAGCCCATCCCTTCCCTCGCGATTAGCTACTTCCCGTCGGACGCCCAGACACGGGCGGAAGTGGAGAAGGTGGATGCCAGCTGCCTGACGGAAGATGCCGCGGGGACCAGAAGAACTGCGGAGGGAGAAGTGCAGCAGCTGCCTCAGACCATCACATGGCGGTCCCGGACTGTTGGCCTGGAAGATGCTACCATCTCGCAGGCTCTAGCCAGCGCCGCGGCGGCAGAATCCCGTCTTGCGTCGTGGCTGGCCGACACTTCCGGCAGTGCGGCTTCTTCGAAGGACAAGGCGGCTGCGTACGATAACGTCATGATCGCGAGTCAGGATGCGGTCGATGCCACCAAGACCGCAATCGACGATCTTGCCAGTGAAGGCGTCGATCCGAGCGACAAGAGGATGCAGAGTCTACAGATCACGCGCACCGCCGTGAACTACGGTCTGGTCGGGTGGCGCATTGGGCGCAACCGCGTCCTGTGCGGCGACCAGGACGGGGTGTCTTTCGAGATGGATCAAGCCAAGGCCCCCAAGAGCAAGAAACCGTCCGCCAAAAGTGAAGAGTCCAAGGGTCGGACCTTTGCGCGACTGCGTGAAAAGGTCGTGCTGTACGATTCTACGCTGCAGAGCATCGATGTCATCCTTGAATTGCCCGGTGTGGCTGCCGATTCTGCATTTGTCCAGGAATTGGGGGCTAAGCGTTCCTACTTCCGCGCCTTAAGGTACGGGGTTCCAGTTTCACGTTTCTAACGCAGATCGGTGCTAATGCTGATCTCTTCTTCCTGCAGATGTCTTGCGGTGGGCCGAACGCACGCTATCCTTGGAAAATCCAAGAACGCGCTGGCGCTGTTCTCGCAGGCGTTGACGCTCACTACTGAATCCGCCGGGCGCCTGTCGTCCTCGATGGACGTGGAGGGGCCTCCACGATTGGACGTCTCCCCCCAGCAGATCCACACCCTCGAGACCACCCTGCGGGCCCTTGTGGCACAATTCCGCGGAGTTGTGACCCTGGAGAATCTGTCCACGGAGGAACAGTCGAAGGCGGCTGTTCAGCGACCCATGGTGGAGCGGATGCACGAATACCCCGGGGATGAGCTCGATCTCCACAAGCTGGTGCCTTACCCGCCGCAGTTGCAGCCGATGCCGGTGAAGCCGTTATTCCTGGACGTCGCGTGGAACTACATCGACTACCCCCGGGAGGGATCGACGGCTGCGCAACCCGCTGCGTCGGAGGAGACCGGTACGGAAGAGAAGAAGGGCGGGCGACGGGGATGGTTTGGATTTGGTCGTTGAGGGGTCCGGATGCATTTGTATAGCTACCTCCCTACCTCTCCATACGTATGCCGTCCATCCGCATCTCCAATCAGGACAGGACAGTGGAGAAACCGCCAAGGGACAACCAGCGAATGAGAGAAATTAATAAAATACAGCACAGCGTCTAAACGGGATACAGTTGGGGGTAGTCTGAATCGGTAAAAGAACGGGGAAGGATGATTGATTGATTGATGGATGGATTGCACAGGCCTTGTGCACCTGCATGGATTAGTAATAGACGCACGATCCCCGTAATAACAAACCCACCAATATCCGGTCGGAACTTTGAGCAACCGAGTCACCTTTTATTTTTTATTTTTTTTTATTAATTTTATTATTATTATTATTATTATTATTATGATTCTGTTACTTTTATTACTATTAAGTGTCCCCTCTTTTGCCTGGATTGACAGACGGCAGAGAAGTATCCGTCTTCCGAGCAGTATCCGATCTCTTCCTCAGGCCACGTACATCACCATCAATCAATCCGATGATGGTTGAATTGATACAGGTCCAGACCAGACAGACCCGTTGTGCTCCCGTGTGGTATGTTGTGTGGCATTGTAGTCACTAGTAACATAGTTTCCCCTCATCTTCTAGGTCTTGACAGCAGACCAGTACTACCTTACACATACTCAGTCAACTGGGATAGTCAGGTCGATGACGGAAAAAAAAAAAAAAAAAAAAAGTCCAACATCAGAGCCTAAGGAAGCAACTATGTAGGATTATACCGTCCGTGCATGATCCCTTGAGTGCTGATTGGCTGCAAGGCTGAGATTAATGAGTGTATGGATTATGTAATCTGTCATCACCACGGGTCAACAATGGTATTGGGATTACAGGTGTATTATTACCCTGGTGGTTGGTCCGCTGTCCCGTGTGAACCATAAATCCTGGCCTATGAATGGCTATGGTCTATTGATCTGGGATGATTAGTAGTATCTTGTTGATTGATTGATCCTTTTGGTTTGATTAGGTTGGATTGGTATGAAGGTAACTTCAGTAGGAGTCATTTTGTGATGGATACATACTCCGCCATTGAGTAAGTTGGGGGAACTAATGGTCAACCATCATGATTCAGCCACTATCTCCGCGGAACAATAAGTCAAATAAAGAAAATCAATAGAAGGGAAAGAAGAACAGAAGAAGAAGAAGAAAGAGGAGACAGTGGATATGCGAACCGAGGAGTGAATGGATGATAGACAATCTTTTCCAGAACGAACCAATCTTTCCTCTCGTCGACTCCATCGAGGTTGTTTGGCTCCGCCGTCGTATTCGCAATACGGGCCATCTCCTTCTAATTACCATCCCCTGATCTTCCTTTTTTTTTTTTTTCTTCTTTCTTCTCTTCTCGACTGGAAAATAAATAATAAAAATCATAATAATCATAATAATACTCGCCAATTCCTTTCCAAGCATACTAGCGTCCTTTTTTTTGGCTTCCCCTGGAACTCTTGACTCTCTGCTTTACTTGAGTCCCTCTCCTCTTCCTCCTCCTCTTCTTCTTCTCCTCCCTCGCCTGTTATCTCCTTCCCCCCCCCCCTCCTGCTCCTCCTCCTCCTCCCTCTCCCCTTGACAACCCCTCGTCGGACTGACTCTTCAATCGATTGAGTTTCAGAAATGTCCGCTGTCAACGGGAGCTTTGTCTCCCCTTCGGCTGATGCCGTTGTCTCCCCTCAACTCTTTGAGCCTTCCGGTCTGGTCGCGTCCCTTGTCGGCGGCCTCAATGTCTGGAAGGCCATCGTGACGTTGTTCCTGGGTGCCATTATCTATGACCAGCGTAAGTCATCAGTTGACGGGTGATTGGATCATGCGCCTTTTTCCTCTCCCGGAAATGACAGACCCTCCTCCCCAATCGCGTGAGTCGCGTGGTAGAAGGGTAGACGGCTAAGATCTCCAATTATCCAATCGCAGTGCGTTATTTCTGGCTCAAAGGCTCGATCATCGGTCCGACATGGAAATTGCCCTTCATGGGACCGTTCCTCGAATCGGTCAACCCGAAGTTCACCGAGTATAAGGCCAAATGGGACAGTGCAGAGTTGAGCTGTGTTTCCGTCTTCCACAAGTATGTTGGTCCTCGTGGGCGGGCTTTCGGCAGATTTTGACTTCCGCTGCCGCCTCTTCCACGCTCTCGTGACGCGCAATCGCTAATGAATATCGTGCAGGTTCGTCGTCATTGCCTCCTCCCGTGATATGTCTCGCAAGATTTTCAACTCCCCCGCCTACGTCAAGCCGTGTGTCGTCGATGTTGCGCACAAGCTCCTCGGCAAGACCAACTGGGTCTTCTTGGACGGCAAGGAACACGTCGAATATCGCAAGGGTCTGAATGGCCTGTTTACGCGTCAGGCGCTGTCCTGCTACTTGCCCCGCATGGACGAGGTCTACAACGACTACTTCAAGCGCTTTCTCGATGTCTCCAAGGCCCACCAGCACAAGCCCGTCCCGTTCATGCCCGAGTTCCGCGAACTCATGTGTGCCGTCTCCTGCCGCACCTTTGTCGGTCACTACATCAGCGAGGAGGCCGTCCAGAAGATCGCCGATGACTACTACATGATCACCGCCGCCCTGGAGCTGGTCAACTTCCCCTTCATCCTGCCCTTCACCAAGGCCTGGTACGGCAAGAAGGCCTCCGACATGGTCCTGGAGGAGTTCTCCAACTGTGCCGCCAAGAGCAAGGCCCGCATGGCGGCCGGCGGCGAGGTCTCGTGCATCATGGACGCCTGGGTCAAGTCCCAGCAGGATTCGGCCCGCTACCGCGAGAAGCTCGCCAAGGGGGTCCCCGCCGAGGAGAACGAGAAGCCCGCGCAGCTCCTGCGCGATTTCAGCGACTTTGAGATTGCCCAGACCATCTTCACCTTCCTGTTCGCGTCCCAGGACGCCACCAGCGCCGCGTCCACCTGGCTGTTCCAGCTCATGGCCGACCGCCCCGAGGTCCTGGACAGGGTCCGCGAGGAGAACGTGCGCGCGCGCAACGGCGACCTCAAGGCGCCGCTGACCATGGAGCTGCTTGACAGCCTGCAGTACACCAAGGCCGTGGTCAAGGAGACCCTCCGGTACCGCCCGCCCGTGATCATGGTCCCCTACCTGGTCAAGAAGGATTTCCCCATCACGGAGAAGATCACCGTGTCCAAGGGCTCGATGATCATCCCGTCGGTGTGGCCCGCCACGCACGACGAGGACGCCTACCCCAACGCCGACTCGTTCGACCCGGACCGCTGGATCACGGGCACGGCCGAGCAGCACCCCAAGAACTGGCTGGTGTTTGGCACGGGGCCGCACTACTGCCTGGGTCAGACCTACGCCACGTTGAACCTGATGGCCATGATTGGCAAGGCCAGTTTGGAGATGGACTGGGAGCACACCCCGACGCCTCAGTCGGAGGAGATCAAGGTGTTTGCCACGATTTTCCCTCAGGTATGCCCCTTCTCTCGCCTGACGTTCGTTTCGCTCCCTCGACACTAACCATGGAATAGGATGACTGCCTGCTGACCTTCCGTCCTCGCGCCTAAACATTTCATAATTCTTTGAAATCAGAAAGAAAAGAGACAAAAGAGTTCCCACGAGGTTCTAAGTCCTCCAGTGTTGTTCTATCCTGGAGATAGACTGACCGTACCTTTTTTTTTTTCTTCTTTTTTCCCTCTTCTTTTCTCCTCTTCTTCTCTCCTCTTCTTTTCTTCTTCTCTTCTCTTTTCTTCATCTTTTTTCTTATCTTTTATCTTGATTTCCCTTCTCGTGTCTATACCTACTTGTATCATGCCCCGTGAGAACAACAACCACGGGATTTTGTGATGGATGGATGGGGTCAGCCTGGAGTATATGAATTGTATGATCGGATCCATGGAGAGGTCGGCTTACGGGCGCGACCTTTCGTTTAGCATTATGTCTTAGAACTAATAGTAATTGTTATTGACAGTTTTTCAAAGTGTAATAGTAATAGCTGTAATAGTAGTAGTAGTAGTAGTAATAGCAAGCTGGTGGTTGAAAACATGGGCTACTGGAAATATATATAGGTGTATATACCAGTCGTGTAACACCGCATGAACATCTACACTCCTACCAATGGTATCAGCAGATACGAACCAGAATCATTTCAAATACTATTAAATAAAAACCACAAGTCCAGATTCACATTCACATTCACATTGAATATGAACATGAAATACACCAACGGCATGCCCAATCCAGAAAGCGGTCAATCCTTCATAGTATGAGTCTTGAGCTTAACACCCCATAGTTAGTTAGTTCTGACATCACCTCAACCCAGTTCAAACCGTCCACATCCGCCTCGGCATCTCTCACTCCGACCCTACCCTACGCTAGGTCCTCTACTAAGGTAGCTAGCTACTCAACCTCCTCCAACAACACCCCTACAAAAGCTCAATCGACATAAAAAAAGAGAGACGAAAGAAAACGACCGGAACAATGATTCAACCCACCCGCCCCATCACAGCCCTCGCCTCCCGCGTCGTCGCAAAGCAGGCCCTCCCTCTCGCCCGTCCCGCTGCCTCGGCGGTACGCTCGAGCTCGAGGGGCCTTGCCTCTCTCTCTCGCGGTGGATATACCCCTCTTTCTCGCGGTGGATATGGCTCTCTTTCTCGCGGTGGATATGGCTCTCTCTCTCGCGGTGGATATACCCCTCTTCCTAGAGGTGGATACGGCCGTGCTGTGCTAGGTGCGCAACGAGGCGGATACGGTGTTGTTGTGTCCCAGCAGCAGGCTTCTATCCGGTGGAAGAGCGACAGCAGCAGTCCTTCTCTGCGGAAGTGGGGCTTCGAAGAGGTATGCATTCCCCCCCCCCTTTACATAGCTATGAACAGATGATCTATACCACCACTGCTCTTCAATCAAACCACACAACTAACAATCAAATTCATATAAAATATAGATCACATCCTCCCTCCCTGCAGACTCAGCCTCCCCAACTCACAAACCCCACCACCCGATCCTAGTCGACGTCCGCGAACCCGCCGAACTCACCGCAACAGGCATCATCCCCTCCGCCGTCTCCGTCCCGCTCGGCTCCCAGCCCGACGCGCTCTTCCTGACGCCGGAGGAGTTCGAGACGCGCTTTGGGTTCCCCAAGCCCGGTGTGGCGGAGGGCGAGAGCAAGGATCCGGTCGTGTTTTACTGCAAGGCGGGCGTGAGGGCGCGCACGGCGGCGCAGTTGGCTTTGCAGGCTGGGTATGACGCCGACAGGGTGGGGGTTTATGAGGGGAGTTGGTTGGATTGGGCGAAGAAGGGGGGGAGGGTTGAGAAGTGGGAGGGGGGCAATTAATTACTCTTTTGTCTCTACTTTGATTTGAAAATGTATGTTATTTTGGTTATTTAGGGTGGTTGATGGTGGTGGTGGTGGTGTATTTGTTCAGTGAGTGGATTGGATTATGACTGACTGACCGGATTGTATTATTAGTATTATGTGGTTGGATAGTAAATAGTATAGTATGTTGGAATCCAGGATATCGCAACATTGATATACATACGTAAGGTACTCCGTATACTACGCACATTCCAACTACAAGCAAGCACGTATATCAAGAAATAAAAAACTAAATCACAAGCTAAGAGGTATCGACCACAACCAGCTCACACCTCCTTTCATTTCATGTACAGCCAACTTTTTCTTTTTACCCATAGCATAGGTCAGTCAATACAGTCGTTGTCAGTCATGCACCAGATCTTTTCCTTCTCTTGACTTGCTTGACCTGTGCTTCAACCCCTTCCTCTTTTTTATCCTCTTCCTCGTCTATCATTCATGTCATACACGATGTATATTCCGCTTTATGCAGAGCGGGAATATAAGAGGCCCATGCGTGCACTCGGGCCTCCCTTCTCCTCCAGAGGACATACAGACAGATTATGTCTGTCTGCTTGCTCGCTCGATCAAGCCCCCAGATACTCAGACCAATCAAGGAATGTCAAACACAGGCTTGAGCTTCTTGACAAGAGCCCACTCTTCCATCGTGACTTCCGCGCGGTAGAACTCCTTGAGCGTGTCGATGCTGGCACGCGAGATGTGAGAGTACAACTGGTCCTTCTCTTCCAGGTGACGGCCGTACAGCGGCTGGTTGGAGCCTTCGATCTTGACGGCCACCGAGGGCTGGCCCCTCTTGACTACGGCGACAGCCTTGTGGTCGCGTTCGATGGAGACACTGGATTATGTTAGTATCCGATGTCAGAGAAAATGGAGGATAAGAGGAAACTTACACTCGTCCCAGATCGATAATCTCCCGCACTCCCGCACCGTTGGTCTTGATTGCTGAAAGAGGCGTGTGCATCCGAAGGCTGCCCTCCAGCACATCGACACCGATGACAATCGGCTCGGTCTTGTTGAACACGGCCACGGGCTGGAGAACGCAGGGGAAGACAGCGAGGAGCTTGCTTTCCTCCTTGCGCTGCTCCTTCAGCTGCTCCATGTGGTTGGTGAATTCGTCGAACAGGTGGTAGATGATGTCGGCGGTGAAGATCTTGACGCCGATTTCGTTGGCGTAGGCGACGGCCTCCTTGTCGACCTTGACGTCGAAACAGAGCATGACGGCGTACTCCTTGGCCTTCTCCAGCATCGTACCGCACACCAGCACGTCACGCTTGTAGACAGGTCCGATGGAGATGTTGGCCACGGGAATCTTGGACACGCGCAGGAACTCCAGCAGGGCTTCCAGAGAACCCAGAGTGGATGCCTGGACGCTGACACCGCGCTGATCCTTCGACACCTTGCTGAGCAGGTTCTCCAGATCGGACATGACCTCTTCCTCGATGTCCTCCTCGTCGTCATCCGGTCCGACGACCATCAGTCGCGAACCAGCAATAGCGTGCTCCAGGTCGTTGGCGGCGATCTTGACACCCAGCGAGGCCTTGACTTCCTTGTTATGCACGTATTGCGACTTGAGACGGAGCTCCTTGAGAGGCGCCGGGGTCAGCAACGCTCGGATGTTGGTTGCGATTGGCCCGTTGAGACCGCACAGCACCACTCGATCGCCCTCGCGCAAGATACCGTTCGAAAGAACCACGTCGATGGTGGTACCAAGACCCTCGATGACCTTGACCTCCAGCACCGTACACTCGACCTCCGACAGGTACATCAGAGCGTTGGTCATACGCTCTTGGGTCAGGGACGTCAGCAGCTTCAGCATGTCCGGAATACCCTCACCGGTGTGAGCGGAGGTGGGGACGAGGGAGACGTTGCGAGCCATGGACTTGTTCTCGTAGTACAGCTCCGAGTTGAATCCCTGCTCGGCGAACAGGACCTTGGTGCGCTCCAGACGGGTGCGGAATTCGTTCTGCACACCCTTGTTCTGCATGGCCAAACTCTCCTGGAAACCGTTGTTGTCGATCTTCTTCCAGCCGTACAGACGGTCAATCTTGTTCAGAGCGACGATGAAAGGAGTACGACGATCACGGAGCAACCTCATCGACTCGAGCGTCTGGGGCTCGAGACCGTGCATGATATCGACGACCAGAATGGCAATGTTACAGAGAGACGAACCACGAGACCGCAGGTTGGCGAAAGACTCGTGACCGGGCGTATCGATAATCAAGAGACCGGGGATCTTGAACTCGAATTTGCCATCCTTGTTGACAACCTGGGTCTTCTGCTGCAGAGCGTCGACGGGGAAGTAGGTAGCACCGATCTGCTGCGTAATACCACCGGCTTCGCCCTCCTGGACGTTGGTCTGACGGATCTTGTCCAGCAGCTTGGTCTTACCAGTATCGACGTGACCAAGAATACAGCAGATGGGGGAGCGCAGGTTGTCCTTTGAGCGAGCAGCCAGGGCTTCCTCGTGCTGCTTCTTCCTCCGCTCGGCAGCCTCTGCCTTGCGTTGAGCAATGGCCTTCTGCGCGGCAGACTGCTCCTCGTCGTCGGAGTCTTCCTCGTCAGAGGAGCCTTCCTCCGAGGACCCCTCTTCCTCATCCTCCTTCGAAGCAGCGTCGCCGTTAGCGGCATTCTTCTCTCCTTCCTCGTCAGACTCGGCATCCCAGCTATCCTTGACCTCTTCGGCGTCGGCGGCCTTCTCCCAGTCTTCAAGGTCGCTCTCCTCACCACCGGCGGCGGCGGCCGCAGCAGCTTCCGCGGCCTCCTTGGCCTTCCGCTCCTCTTCCTCCTTCTTCCGTCGCTCATCTTCGGCGGCACGCTGGGCTTGGGCGCGGGCGGCGGCGGCTTCCAGATCATCTTCCTGCTTCTTGGGGCCTCTCTTCTTCTTGTTGTCGTAGACGGGCCGCTTCTTGTCGGCTTGGTCTTTCTCGAGACCGGCGACCTTGCCGACACCAGATTCCAGCAACTGCTTCATACGCAGCTCGTTGCGGGCTTGTGCTTCTTTCTGGGCCTTGGTGAGCAGCTTTCCTTCCTTGCGGAGCTGTTCCTTCTTCTCCCTCTCCTTCTCCTTCTTCTTCTGGCGGATCGCTTCTCTCTCGCGTTCTTCTTCCTCGGTCAGCTTCCGCTGGGCCTCCTCGGCGGCCCGCTCTTCAGCTGCGATTCGCTCTTCCTCCTCGCGCTGCTTCCTCATAGCCTCCTGCTGCTTCTGAAGCATGGCCAAGTGAGCCGGGACCTTCTTCTTCTTACCGCCAGTCTCGGCGGCGGCGGCGGCCGGAGCAGCCTCGGGGGCGCGGGAGGGGGATTCATCCTTCTTCTCAACCTTGGCAGGCTGAGGCTTTTCGGCAGGGGCAGTCTTCTTCTTCAGAGCAGCCTAGACAGTAGTAAAAACACCCGTTAGCAATCTGATGCAGGAGAGGGGGATAGATAGGATGAAAAAAAAGATATAAAGAACGAACCTGTTCCTTCTTCCGCTGCTTCTCCCTCTCCTTCTTCTCCTTCTCCTTCTCCTTCTTCGACTTCACCCGGAACCCGGAATCCTCTTCCTCAGCCGCAGCAGTCGGAGTCACCTTGCCAGCCTTGGCACTCTTCTTGCCAGCAAAGACATCCTCGTCATCGAAGGTGCCTTCCTCCGGCTGCTTGCTCGAAAAGTCCGCAGCCTCACTGGGATCCTCTCCCTCGACGAAATCATTCGCCTGCTTCCCCTTCTTGGCCTTCTTGGTCTTGTTCTTGCGCAGCGCCGCGAGCAGTCCTCCACCGCCGCTGGTTTCTTCTTCCTCGCCAGCGGGGTTCTCCTCGGCAGCCGGCGACTCATCACCACCATTGGGGGCAGCGGGGGCGGACTCGCCCATCTCGGCCTCCCAGTCCTCTTCTTGCCGCTTGTTTCCCTTCTTCTTGGGCGCCATGTTGGGTGATTATTGGCGGTGTTGTCTTTTTTGAAATGGGTTGTGCGGATCGATGTCGATCACGAGCCTCTCTTTCGACTGAAAGATTCGAGGCTTATAGAAATGGGAAAAAAGGAGCAAAAACGGGATCCCTAGGGAAAAGAAACTCTACGTTAGTATAAGATCCAAGTAAAGTGCGCTGAATGAGTCTAGACAGGTTATGCAAAAATTGTGTGGGCGGTGCACAAACAGTCCGACGAAATTAGCTTCTTCCGCTCTTCGCAGTTATAGATGACGCTCTAACCGTGGCAGTGAAGCCGGATTAGGCTGAAGGAAAAATGATCACAGGCAAGGGAAAAAGGAGGGGCAAACACCTTTTCTTTCCCGCAAATTTGGGTTGATCTGTGGGGGGAGGAGGGGGATGGAAGAGATGGAGGAGGAGAAGAGAGGGAAGAGATAAAGCGATCGGAGGTTTGATGGTTTGGTTGGCGTATGTAATCTTTGGTCCTCGTAAAATAAAAAGATTTTTGACTATGGTGGGGGAGGATTACCGCACCCGTTTATGCGAGGGCCAATTAATGCGTGTCTCTCCGGATTTCTACCAGCTGGTGATGGTGGTCTTGAATTTGTTTGTATATCAATGTTTTATATAGAGGAATGGTAAATAATAACAGCGAAAAGAAGAGAATATAAGGTGACACGAGATGGTCAGAGCTGGAAGGGAAAATGTCTCTATATTCAGAACTCCACATGCAATACCTTCTTTAACCACCCCAATACCGCTTCGACAGGGTTCATCACTTCCCCGAGGACTGCCATGGATAACTCGTTGAATCGGGCCCAGGTCTCTCCATGACTGGTTGTGTCAGGGGAGGAGAACTCGCTCATCAGCATTTGCGTGAGACGACTTGACCCGTGGGGCACGAGACGAGCGAGGATGTCTCCGTCGATGTGCATCTGCGACGGCCGGAAGTCGAGAGGCTCGTGGCCCACCGGGTGTCTCTGTTGCTTCCCCTTGGGGCTAAACGGACAAACAACGGGGTCCCGGACGCAGAGGTCCTGTAGTAGGTGGAGTAACCGCCATTCCTTCTCGCCCAGTGTCAAGAAACTATAGACAGTACCGTTCATAGCCGTGCCGTAGTATACTCGGGAGTCGGGGGATAAGGCCGAGCGGCGGGAACCCGAGGCGAGTTTCATCACAGAGGACGGGAGGTGTGCCTCGCAGAGGGCCATGGGCATCACCTTGTCATTATCAGCGACCCCTTCCTCGGTCAAGATGCTGACTCGTCCCCCTCTGCTCGAGGCCAGGGTCAGTTTCATCTCGCCATCAAGGTGAATATGGGAGAGCCCGTCGTGCTTTTGGCGGTCGAATGCATGAAGGACCAGTCGGTCATCCGCGGCCTTGAGCACCATCAGCGACTCGCGCGACGCTGACACGTATACATAGGGCTCACGGGTGGTTATCGACATCGCCGGTGACAGCACCGGAAACCTGGCGGCCCGGACCCATCGTGTTTGGGAGGACTTTGGTTCCAGAGGCACAATCTCATGGCCGGTACTAACGATGAGAGTGAAATCGCCATAAGGGGCGATTGAATACACCGGGCCTTCGAACTTGTGAATGTACTTGACGGTGCACTCAATCTGGGTAGGATTGGACGGGCTCCGAGATGCTTGGAGAAAGATGACCCGCCCTCGATCAGGTTGGTTTTTACGAGCGGTCCCAATGACAATCATGTGGTACTCCTCATCGCCCTTCTTCGGTATCCAGTCGAGAATACAACTGATCTTCTCCCCTGCAGTGCCCTGTGGTCTCCATGGTCGAGGCTCGCTCTGCGGGGCCTCTAGGATATCGACAACGGATTGCTGTGAATCGGGGTCCACGAACTCGATGCATGGCCGAGTGTAGCGTCGGATAGGATCGGATTCGGTGTCGTACTCGGTCCGGGTGTATGCTACTATTAAACTTCGGAGATGCGGCGAGTACGCCAGTCTGTTGGCGCTGCCAGGCAAATCGATCCTCCTTGGCACAGTCTTTGCCTCGTGATCCAGGGTGCAGATCATGACTTGCCCGTCTGCTATACAAAATAGGCTGTCGGACAGGCTACCCGTCTCGGGGTCCGTGATGCTCGTGAGTGCAAAACTATGCACACTCTTTGGGTGGTAGGCGGCCTACTACACCGTTAGACATTATCTTCAAGAAAGGTGGATTTTGGGGAACGCACATTGTTTTGGTCCGTGATCCAGATTTTTTGAAGAATACAATCGGATCTACCCGAACTTTGGATACAAGACAATTGCCAGAAACCATGCCCACAGGTCAATAGGGCGAAATTTCCCCTGCTCTGAACTTTGACCGATGTATGCCCCAGTCGCTGTGGCACGGCTTGTTCCAGCACTACTCGGAAATCATCAGTGGAAGAAGCTAGCCAGAGAATTCGGTGACCTACCAATCGGAGCAGTAGCGCTATTAGGATCCAAGCCCATTTCAAATGGGACCAAGATACCGCTTCGTAGACCGCACAAGACCATGTACCTTTCAGCAGGTCCATCAGTGGCGACAGTGACTACTGCGAGGCTGTCAATTGCCTTCGAAATGTCTTCACCCAGCTCTAGGTCTATGCGTATCTCGAGAAGGAATGACACGGTCTCCTGCACGCGGTAGACCAAAATCTTCCCATTGCCTGATCCGATAAAAATGAAAGATCCGATATCAAAAGTTTCAATAGACATGCAGACAGGCTCGTCCCCGACCTTCAAAGGTTGACCGACATCGATCAGTCGGAGTTGGCCATCATTGGTGTCGGCCAACCGCTTCGAATAGAGATAAACTTCATTTTGAGTACGGACAGCCGTAGCGATGAGGGAGGCATGAGTGCTGACCGCGGCAACAGCAATGGCCTGATCTGGCCCATAATCGAAACGGGAATTGGCTGCGGGTTCAGCAATCGCCCCGAGATGTATCGCTTTATCGGTAATTTGGATGACAACGCCAGAGTTGGTACACGCCGCAGCTAAAGTTTGGGCCCCAAAGTCCAGCCCAGAGTCTGCTTCATCAATCGCGGAGATCTCGTCTCCAAAATCAGCAGGGAGGTGCAAGAGGGTGGAAGAGACCGGGTCGGATGTAAGAACGAAGATTCCCCCGTCCATACCGTCCGACATTGTCCATATATCTCCCATACTGAACATATCCTCCAGGGAGATGACCAGCCCGATTTGCGCTTCGATGCCATGGCGGAGTTCCACGGCGGCACCGCGCCCAAACGATGACGCCGAGCATACAAACATTCGGTCCTCGGGGATGTTGGTGCTGGACTGATCCTGCCCGGAAGGCCTCACAATGACAGAATCTGTGACCGGCGTCCAATTCATAAACTTCTGGACGCATCTAGGGTGATCGCGAGCTTTCTGGATGAACAGACCCCCGTCGCCCGTGTTGCCCGCAGCCAGAAGCAGGTCCCCACCCTCATGGCCAATGTCGAGAATATCGAATGCTGCATCGACATCACAGCAAAGCTGCCCGAGGTGTGTTTGATTCTCCACTTCGCCTTCACTGCCGATTCCTAGATACGAAATCTTTCCGTCCTCCCGGCAGAGATAAATGTCGTCGTGTTTCTGGTTGTACAGCCAGTTACGGAGGGGCCTCGCCCACCGAGTCCACAGAGGTGCCCTTTGCGATTCACTGTCCAGCGTCGGAAGTGGGTACCTACTAGGTTGTCGTCGCGGATCTAATCTGTTTTTGTATATCGCCATCGACGTCGTTGTGATGAGCATGAAGGAAGATGTCTTTGTTAACGGGATTAGCATGGTGGGCAGTCTATCCTCGAAAGCCAGCAGGCGTTTGGTCACTTTAGGAGTCGCATGCCGGAAGGTTTCGTTGGCATCCCACTCGTAGCATATCGCGTGCGTGAGCTGATCTTGGGCGACCAAAAGTAGCAGGATGATTTTCCCAGCATCTTCAGACTTGGGATATAAGAATTCCATGAAGAGGATGTCCCCGTCAACACGAAAGAATCGTTCCTACAGAAATACACTCGCCAATTAATACATCGCAACCAACCTGCGAAGTCTATAACGTACCTCTGCTACCGGATCCAGCTCATCAGTGGACATCTGTGCCTGGAGTTCAGGGGTCTTTTTCAGGACGAAGACTCCAAAATAATCACATGAGGCGCTGACCGCGACAGCACGGGACCTGCGATGCTTCTCAGAAATAGGACTCTTTGGTCAATTCAGCGCGACTTACCGAGGTTCGACTGCAATATTCCTGCCAAATCGCTCGAAGGTGCTGACATCGTTCGGTAAAGGTCGATGATAGTGGATGAATCGCCCGTCCAGATTGGAATAATACAGAAACACCAGCTCCTTGGAAGCGAGGCTGAGGACTAAGATTTGGGGAGGCAGGTCTTTTGGAAGGTCTGTGCCGGATTCAAGCTTCATCTGAGCTTCCCATGGTAGTTCGGCGCTCACGTTGATGGCCTTGGCTGCCATAATATTGGCATCGAAATCTGCCTTCGACGTGACAGTCTCCAAGTGAACACCGGAGACTGCTTCTTTAATTTGAAGGCTTCGCTCCCCAACAAACACGACATCATTCTGGAGTTTGCTTCGCAGGCGTGCCGGGAGAATCCACTGGATGATCGGGCTCGGGATAAGCGTACGGGTGAGCAACCCAACCTTGGCTCTACTATTCAACGGCGAGTTCGCCTCCGCTGCTCCTGCGTTACGTCGGTTCGCTAGAAGGTTGGCGAAAAACGTACCGGAATCCCGGCTAGTTCTTGGTTGAGCCATGATTCCGTGGTCCAGGTATTTCCCTAAAAGACGGCGCAGAAGTGGGGGAAAACCTGGGGTTTCAATGAAGCAATTTAAGAGGACAAAGAAGGCAGGGATTTCAGCGATGATTTCCCCACGCTGTAGTCTGCCGCGCCAGGAACGGCAGTATAGGCAAAACGCAAAGAATCAATTGATTAGAAATCGAGCCCGGGAAGAAGTCCTCTCATGATCATGCTTAAAGTGGTCTTGGGATACTGTCCCATCTTGGTACGGTTGAGAGAGATAGATCGCGAGATGTTGACAATGACGGAATGGTGCTTCTCACTGCAATCGAAAGATAGCAATGGTGATCCGCCAATTAGACCGACCCGATCGTTCAAGGAAGATCCCTCTTTTGCTTTCTCGCTCTCTAGCTCTCACACTCTCTCGCTTGCCGACTCAACCCAAGCCAAGAGTGAACTACCTACACTATGTAGGCGAGCTAGAGCCACCTGCAAGTAATCCGTACTTCAGTGGCTCCGACAGTACGGATTGGCTAGCACAGCCTGACGCCTTTTTCCAATCTTAGGGGTGGTGCCTATAGATAAATCGATAGACAGAAAAGGAATCTCATAAACTGATCCCCGAAAGAAACATGCAGGCTAGTGGAAGAATAATTCCGGGGTTAGCATGACTCGACGAAGAAATCAATGGGAATGATGGACGAATCGAAGGGCGGTGCTAGACGATTTGAGTGCCCACCATCCACCGCCACAGTTTTGGGCACTCGAGGACCTGCAGCCTATCTTCAACTTTTTTTTTTCTTTTTCTGACTTTTTTTGTCTTTCTGGTGAGGGGGATTGCAGTGGAGAGTTGATAAGGAGGGAACCAACACCTAAACTAAACACTCTTGAATCATACCTAGTCATAAAACTGATTCGGGATAAGAAAAAATTGAGAAAGACAAGGAATCGTATGGCAAGAGGAAGTTGTAGGAAATCATCAATCAAACCCTCCGATCATCCTTGAATCCAGTATCTCAACCATGGAGGGGCTGGTGGACTGGTTTAAGTAAGTCGATTGTCGCTCTGCAGGCGGTCGGCAAGTCGTCCAAAGAAGAAACGACATGATGGAACAAATCACGGGACTCGACCGCATCTTTCCATCGTCAAACCACCGTCGGATTTTCGATTACTTCGTTATACTTCAGAGTTTGGGCTTCTGTCTCTTTTTTTTGCCTTTTTATAAGGGGGTCATACCTCGTTTAAACTGTCCTACCGCTTCATCAGGCCTTCATCCCGCTACGAGAACTGGTTCTCTGCCCGATCGGTTCCTCCACATGCTGCCCAGCCGCAAATGCATGTCATATGTGCTAAATCGTCCATGCGTTTCTCCTAAGCCCATTTCATGACCGGAAGACAAACATACCCTGGTTGATCAGTACTGTCTACGATCTATCTGCATCGTGTGTGAATTGACTCGGACCCACCGGCTACTGCATTTCTGCCTGGTGCGGTCCTACTGTATACTTACCAACCTGTCGTGCATCTGCATCATAAACGAGACCGAGGGACTTAGTTGGCTGTCCTGAAATACAGCGTGTTGCTTGTTCTGGGCTATCTTTTGCTTCCCTTTGGTGCTGCCTAAAATTGTCAACCCAGGGATAGAACTATCGTCCCCGTCTACCTGGATTCCCGACATCTACGATTCCATCTCACTCATGGCTGAATGGCCCGACATCCAACGGTGGCCCGAAAGCAACGCCGAGATCGACATCGAAACGGGTGGTTTAACCGATGTCGATATGGATTTGGATATGGCATCTGAAAAGATGTCAAAAGAAACCACCCCTCCGATGGACCCCCCGCACGACCTGGCTGCAGCCCGTGTAGCCGAAAAAGAGGTCGCCATCCGTCGCGCATGCGACCTGCGCGATTACGATGCACTGGTTTCGTATGCAACCTCCGAAGGGGGCTTTCTCCGTGATGAAATCCGCCAGTCCGTCTGTAAGGGAACCCAGTACGTCGTTAGTATGGGGACGAGAACTGACAAATAAAAGGGCCTCTCCTCCTCCACTGTGATCGATTGATCCCTGAACATGACTTTACGGACTGGAATGACCTGCCACCCCATGCTGATGAGGACCAAGTACAACTAGACGTGAACAGATCATTTGTTTACTACCCTGACTGTAGGCACCCCGTCTATCGAGCTAATGGCTTCATCGGCTAATTGAGTCGCGCAGGTGCTGATGATGAGCGGGCGCGCAAGAAGGATGAGTTGTCGATTGTCATCAGACAGGTCCTGCGCAAGTATCCAATGCTCTGCTACTTCCAAGGCTATCATGATATCGCCCAAGTCCTTCTCTTGGTGCTCGGGGAGAGGACAGCCGCACCGGCGGTGGCCCAGATGTCTCTTTTCCGAATTCGGGACTACATGCTACCGTCCTTAAAACCCTCTATCAAGCATCTCCATCTCATCCCTGCGATCATTGGAAAGGCCGACCCAGCTCTCCGGCGACATATTGCCGGGATCCAACCTTTCTTCGCTCTGGCAGCCGCCCTCACTCTGTATGCGCACGACATTCAAGAGTACAGTGATATCGCCCGGCTCTTTGACTTTCTTTTAGCTCGTGAGCCGGTAGAGTCGATTTACCTGTTTGCTGCTATAATCATCTCCCGCCGGAAGGAACTTTTGGAAATATCAGTCGACGAGCCGGAAATGCTGCATTTTACTATGTCTAAGCTCCCCTGCCCGCTGGACCTCGAGGGCCTGATCACGAAAGCCGTACAGCTCTTCCAAACATGCCCCCCAGAATCGTTACCCTGCAACGCGTGGAAATCCATTCCTCAGTGCAGCGTACTCAAGACCTCTCGGGAGTTGTCCGACCGCCAAACGGTCAAGAAGGCACTGGGGCTCTTCGACCAACAAACACGACAGTTACGAAACCAAGAGCGGAAAGAAAAGACCCTGGAGTTCCTGTGGTACAACCGACGGACGGTTGGATCCGTGGCGGTCACCATCTTCATCGGGGCCGTGTCGTTCTGGATCCGCCGCAAGGGCCTTGATGGTCCCATCTGGTCGTACCTTTCTCGGTTCAAGGCGGCGTTTCAGGCACACGGCTACTTCTAGGGACTTTGAGGTTTGCCGAACGCGATACATGCATGGATGCAGGGGGGAAAGGATTCCGGCGGTTTGGCTTCATATCTAATACGATTTGTAATATAATAGAATTAAACGATTTGAAAACTTTCCCTTTCAGATTTGCTCCTGTTCGATTGTACGTTTGTTCACGTGGAGTGGAAATGAACGGCAGTATCATGATACAATGCGGGCGGTGTGGTTGGGGCCGCTGAGGTGTACTCTTTGCTGCTCCGACGGCTGCAAGTCTACTCCACCACTCTCTCCCTCCACCATTTCCCCATCAAATCTTCTCCAACTGAGATCCCCTCACGATCGCCCAAAATGGCAAACCGGGGCTACGACGTGGTCGTCGACGTCGACGCAGAGGTACAAATGCCGTTCCCTGTTGGATCCCTGTTCGACCGTCGTCATCTAACACTAAAGGACACAGGGCGACCTCGGACACACCGATCTCCAGGAGGACCTCGAATTCCACCCTTCCAGTAAGCCAGATCGTTTCCTTTTTGTCGGAAGCATATCCTCAATCGACCGGAGATCGAGTTACTGATCACATGTTCAACAGACTTCGAGAATGACCAACGATCCGCCAAAGCGCACCAGGACTCGGCACCGTTCCTAGGCGGAGGGGGCCCCTCGCGCGGTAATCGCAACAGGTCGCCGGGCGGCACACCCACCAAGGTCAGCTGGTGGTCGCTGCACTATTATTCGCAGTTCTTCGACGTGGACACGAACGAGGTGCTGCGACGATGCGTTGCGACACTGTACCCGCGCAGCAACTTCCTCGACGTGCTCGAGGGCAACGCGGACCTGTACGGGCCGTTCTGGATCGCCACCACCGTCGTCGTCATCCTGTTCCTGACAGGCACCATCTCGCAGTGGCTGTCCAATAACGACGGCGAGCACTTCGAGTACGACTTCACCCTGCTGTCCGGCGCCGCGGGCCTCGTCTACGGCTACACGGGCCTCATCCCCATCGCGCTGTGGGGCGCACTGCGCTGGTTCGGCAGCTCCACGGCTGACTTGATCGAGTGTTGGGCTCTGTACGGATACTCAAACCTCGTGTGGATTGGTGTCGCCCTGGTCAGCTGGAGTCCGTTGACGGCGTTGAACTGGGCGCTTGTTGGCGTGGGCTTCGGGTGGACCGTCTTCTTCCTCCTGCGGAACTTGTATCCCGTCCTGAGCGCCACGGATGCCAAGGCTAGCAAGATCCTGTTGGTGCTGGTCATTGTGCTGCATGCGGGTCTCGCCATTGCTATTAAGATTCTGTTCTTCGCGTATGTTTCCCATCCGATGCACTTATCTAAATTACATGCTAACGACATTACTTCACAGCCACGGGAGCCCCGTCTCCAAGAAGAACAAGGATAAGGTCAATGAAGGCGAACCTAAGGACGGCGAGAAGCCGCAAAGGATGATGATGTAGAGACGTGGGGGAAAGAGAGGAAAGGAATAGCGTGCAATTCCCATCCAGACTTGCACTGTCCCTTCGTTCAAGGTTGATAGACTGGTTCACTTTTGCTCCGGTAGCGATATGACCGGTTTTCGCCCTCTGTTTTTGCGTTCTCGTTCTCGATCCTTCTGTCCTATTCCCACTTTATACTTTGTGCGGCAGATTTATCCGTTACGGTGTATGTATGTACCTCTACGAACTTGATTTCGATTTCTAGGATGATCGTATTTTTTCCCAGACAACGCCACTTTGAAAGGGTCCTTGGGCTTTTCCATTCGGTCTTGCTGCTGTGATTCACTATCTAGCATCTCTAGGAGCCGTGCTAGTCCTATAAATCTACTGTGGGATGTGTCTCAAATTTGCAGAAAGGCAAAGTCTAGTCCGTACTTAGCAGATATATATATCACTACCTGGTAGCATTGTGATGCAGTGAAGACAGGCAATGAATAATCTCAACCCATGTGATATACATCCCTGCCACTACTCAATCTTCCTCTTCTTGATATCCATCTTCTACTTATCAACAACCTTTACTTTTCATTCTGCTTCTTTCCCACTCGTTTCTTAAAAATTAGCGTGTCGCGCTAAGATAGGATTACTTACAGAGCTCAAAAGCGGCATGGTATCTTCCGTACCCGAGCAGCCGGTCTCTCTGAGATCGCCGCAGGGAAGAGTTTCCTGTTCCTTTAAGTATGAGCGCTTCTGCCGCTTTTTGGCGCGAGCATATAGCGTTCCCAGCGATGTGCGCCGGCTGCTGCTAGTTAGTCCGTGGCCAAAGGGGCTTTGGTCGAGGCGTCAAGTTTAGTTGTCTGTAGCGCCTGGTTCATTAACTATGCAATGAGACTTAGTGCGAGTTTCGTTCTTACGGCCCTGACAATAGGGTTGAACTTGGGAATGTTAGTTGCTGGTATTGTCTGGGGAGGACAAAGCTTGTGGATGAGTCGTGGGAGAGTGGTTGCGCATGTCTTCCGTGATGACGAGGGGGGAGATGGCGCAAGCGGAGAGGACGGAGATAGCGTGGATTGGGTATTAGCTGGATTGGGAGTGTTAGGACATGAATGAGGCACTGTTAGTTGAGGTTGACGTTGCTCCATGTTGCTGATCCTGGTCCACTCGAAAACTATGTAGCGATCTAGATCCATGTCTATCGGGTTTAGATCAACTTGGTAAGTAGCAGCGAATGAGCACCGCATTGGAGAGGAACAGAAGCCTTGGGCCTGTCCAAAGTGTCCGTAGTATCCGAATTCAGGTATACGATCTGGGAAAAAGGTGGATTGTTTTACAAAAGCTTGAATGCAATTGAGAGGCGCCGTCACCATTTGACTTGGCTATCATGTTTTCTTTTATTCAAATATCGTATGAAAACCTCCCAGGCTGCAACCGGACCATAATAAACCCGTCCGACTCTTCCCAGCAACGTAGAAAAACCGTAACATGATGCGAATCGTTTACTTCAACTTCTTCTTGGGGCGGAGCTGGTTGGTGTGACCGCACTTCTTCTTACGGCAGTTGGTGGCACGGGGGGGAAGACGGGCCTGTCCGATGATTAGTATGGTTGGCCGGGTGTCTTGTCTCATGGGTCGTTCCGTTCTGGAGGGGTCCAACGTACGTAGCACTTGCGGCAGATGTTCTTCTCGCAGTTGTACTTGGAGGCGAGGGCCTTGAGCGAAGGCTCGATGATACCACCACGCAGGCGGAGCACCAGGTGGAGGGTGGACTCCTATTGGTGTGGTCAGCCAATGGTCTCAAATCGGATGTAAAATATCGTCCGATCTAGACTCCGAAATCCCGTCTCTTTCATGATAGCGATGCGCTTCCTCCAGGTGTAACACGATAGGTCCTGTTGTTTCAAAACCCATGCGACCGTGGAAACTGCCCATCCCATCATATATCCCATTCGATCTTTCCCAATTCCTAGGGTAATTCCGTACCTTCTGGATGTTGTAGTCGCTCAGGGTACGGCCATCCTCAAGCTGCTTGCCAGCGAAGATCAGACGCTGCTGGTCGGGGGGGATGCCCTCCTTGTCCTGGATCTTGGACTTGACGTTGTCGATGGTGTCGCTCGACTCGACTTCGAGGGTAATGGTCTTACCCGTCAGGGTCTTGACGAAACTGTTATCCAATCCATCAGTTCACCGCTCACTCAATCACTGATTTCCCTGTTGGCTTTCTTTAATTGTCGGCCGGGTCGGTGGCTGGCCATATCGAATGGCCGGTCGGGGGGGAGTTATGGATGTATTTAATATTGGAGGAAGACCTACATCTGCACTGTGAGGGCGCGCGAAAAAAATCCATGTTAGCAGGTCATTCAGCGACATCAATATAGCGACAATAGGGGGTATCTGCACGTACTGGTTGCGGCTTTTCGTTTGTTGCTGGCTGACGATCGGCTGGGAGTTCGCGGGCGGAATGAGACGATGTCAATTTGAGGATTTCTCGCTTAGCAAAGGTGCACCGATGACTAAGGCCGTGCGCGGTTACCCTAACCCTACTTTCCCTTTTCGGTCCCGAAGCTTATCCCCCGGATTGACAACGTCATTTCCTCTTTTCTTAGTTTAGTCGTGCTCTCGCTCCTTCTTATCTGGTTATTCGGCCACTTTACGGTGGTCTCCGCCGTACGGGCTGGACCCGTCATCCATCAGAGTTGCCTAATCGAGCCAACTGAACTCTCCGTTTTGGTATCCGCCGAACTAGCATTTTCCCCGACGCAGGGGTAGCAATCGTGAACACGCAGCGACAAGAGTGCAGTACCTGGGTCACATACAACGCAACGTTTCTTGGGCTATGATGGCTTCCTTTGACTGTCAACGTTCAACGAAATCGTCCGGTATATGCTTAGCCCTCTAGCGTTCGAGACCTGTCGCACCGTGTTCCGTGCGACCATGCGACATAGATGCGCCGGAGTTGGTTATCTCGCAGCTAATAGTCAATCGGCGGTCGTGATTAGTTTGTCAACAACAGCACGGCTGGCGTTATCTTGTATGACTGCCCAATCTTTGGGCTGGCTCCAACACCTGCGACCAACGCTTTCGCAAACCCAGTCCATGACTACGCTGGCGCTGCCTGATATTAGCACACATGATAGATCCCCCGGTGTTTTCGATGCGCCTGTAGTGACGATAGCTTTGTCTGGGAGGATATGAGTATGCACTGCGTGTCTGAGCCTGGGCTGTGGTGTAGCATTGGAAGGTGAAGCGCGTAGGAAGCTTGATTGGATACTGGGGGCTTCATCGTCGACTTGTTCACTGAGCAACTGAGTAGAATCTTGTATTCGGTGGGGGCGAGATGTTTACATCGAGGCATTTACTGCCTATAGGCAGTTGAACTGGGCCCTCGTCAACTCGACTGTCAATCGGCTGGTGCCATCATGATCAGAGATCCGGGCTGAAGGCGTCTAGTGACGTTGACAATGCAAGACAGTAACGCTTTTGGAAGTTGGTCTCGTTAAGTTGCTGTGCCTTTCTTGGTATCAACATAGGTTGGTAGAGCTGTAAGGAACTAGGTAGTGGAAGTATTGCCTGGCAGAACGCCGTAGGATGTGTACCATCCTAAGGTACCCAACCAACATGCCAAGAAGCCCCATGACTTTCATAAAAGGAATCCCTCGTTAAAAGTGAAATTTAAAATGGTTGATAATTGAGTAAATAAGAAAGAAGGATGATGAGTGGGTTAAGGTACGGAGTAGAAAGAGCGGGATGGAAAAAGAAAAAAACAAAAAAAGAAGTCGCCCGAAGGGGGTCTCGAACCCCCAGCCTTGCGGTTTACTTGAGATGCTGCTGCACCGTAAAAGCCGCACGCTCTGACCAATTGAGCTACCCGGGCTTCTTGTTGAAATGTCGGTGGCAACTAACACTCTATGTTGGATGAGAACATAAATTCTTCTGAATGCTGCATACCATTTTCTCGAGACAATACTGATGTGATTCGATCGGTTTGAAGATACTGAAGATTGAAACAACCGCTACAGGATATTAAGAGGTTATTTTGTATGAGTCAACTAAATTGTATTTGGAAATTGTAGCAATATTGGCCATTCTCTGTTATGGCTTGGTCAAGGCTAAGAGGGTTCTTGGTGGGAGGCTACAGTTAGAGAATCATGAATAAAGGTAGACTGGCTCTCGGAGCATACGCGTTGATACTTCTGGGTCATATAGTTACGAAATATTTATATTTATACGATAAGCACGAAAAGTGAAAATGAATGAGATATATAATTCAAGATTCGTCAAGAAGCTAGCTCTAAATAAGCGAACAACATTATATACTCTACTCCGGTACGACTCAAGAATCATCGTCCAACTCAGGCAAACTTTGATCATCAGCCGGATCATCCCCCTCTAGCCACGCATCCGACGACTCCATAAAGTTGCTTTCCCGTCTTTGGTCATCTACCCATCGAGAGATTTTCGACTCAGTCTGATGGACGACCCGTACAAGGGTCGACAGGGATATTCCCGTGACTTTAGCAACGGTCTCGTAAAACGGTTCGGCCTCGTCAGAGAGGTCCGAGTCCAAACGATACCGCTGGTATTCTGCACCGGGCCGGAGGACATCTGGGTCCGGGGCCCTGATGGCCCTGCGTGGTTTCAGTTGGCTCGAGACCGTTTGGATCATCGATTCTATTGCCTCTTCCTCGTCCTCGTGGGTATCAGCAGGCCCTGCCTGACTCGGCGGTCTGGACTTCCCGCGCATCCGACCGAGGGGGAAGAGATCTGCTAGGAAACTTGAGTTTCCTGGAGGAGTGAGTCAGTGCTGCTGTCCACGGTAGAGGAACAAGGCAAATTTCCGGGAATATCTCGTACCGCGGCTAACATCCAGCCAGGAGCTCTCGTACCAATCCATATACTCGTCTAGCTGAGCCGATGACATGTTGAACACGTCACTGTCGTTTACGAGGACCTCTTTGCCCTTTCCAATGCGTCCTCCTGAGGTCTCTCGGGCATCGAAGTGCCTCTGGACCTGCGCCCACAGTTCCCAGTTGACAACCTGGGAGCTGGGCTCCCGCGTCGACTGGGGATATCGTTTGATGTCGTCGAAGGGAAAAAATAGCTTGGTCGATATGACAATCAGTGTGGCTAGTTGTACTTCTGGTAGATGCAGGGCCGTGACTCTGCCAGTGACACGCTCGGGAAAGGCAAAAGGAAACCTTGTGATGGTGTTTAATCTGTGCACTGCCGTGTAAATCTCAACTGAAAGATGTCAGCTTAACTCAGAAAAGACATCAAGTAGGCGGTGCCATACTGGGTACCGCAAGCCGTTTTATATAGCGATATAAAAGAGGGGGTAGGTTCAGCCCTGGAAACTCCATCCCAAACTGGTGTCTATACCACACGGAAAGGTCCAGAGCGGCTTTGTGAAGATGTTCCGCTTTTGGCAACCTCTGCCGATTCATTAGAAAACACTAAACTGGCAGATCGAGTGGCACGTCCTTACAGTAGTTTCCAGGAGCGAAAGATATTCTTGGGGCAATCTGTCCCTCATCTCCCGGGGGATCGCCAATATAATTCTCAAAAACGGGACCTCCCCCCGCATGAGCATCCTTGATGCAGTTAGACAATGCAACTGCAACCCAGACCACCGATACAGGGAACTCACCTGTGGAAATCCGCAATGCTAATCGGAATCCTCATCAGCAAAGCCGCCAAATAGCACAGGGCGATGCTATCGATGAGACGCGGCCATTGGAGGTACTTCGACCCAATCTTGGGAGCCTCAATGTGCTTCTCTGCCCCTGTCGCCGCCGCCGGCTGGGAGCTGCTGAAAAACTCCGGTTCATCTTTCTCCGAGAAAGTATTGATTTTGTCCGAAAGGGTCTCCAAACGGAGCGCCCATAGATCGCGGACGATGTTCTGGACATTGCTTTGTCAGCCCCTTGCCAACCTCCGCAGTTCCCGATTGAGCGATAGAGAACGGGATGGAGGTGGAAATATATATATATGTATAGACTGGACGGACCTCCAATTTAGCTGGGAAGCCTTGGCCTTGGACCAAGGCGTGACATTGCTTCCAGAGAATCAATTGATAGATGTGGAGAAATAGAAGATACGCATGTTTCCCCTTGTAGGCTGCCTTGTATTAGCATCGGAATGCGTAAAATTCGACGAGCACTGCGCCCACGGCATGACAAGACAATGACATATATATACATACTCTTGGGTGGCTTCTCTCTCACAGGCTTCTTTAAACGAGTCACTTTGCCCTGTGTGCCAAAATCATCCGCATCTTCCCCGACTTGCATGCCCTGTCATTCAGACCGGTGAGTCGCTGATCCAGCCAGCGATGAGGAGCGGCGAAGACTTACCTCCTGTTGGTGACCTCGCCGACAGTACCAGAGGCCATTCTCGATAAAGTACCGAGTTTCACGGCACCCTTCCTGCCCGCAAACTCCTCGGGATTTGGCTTCCATCCCGGACAGCTATAGCTCATTGTCTGATGGGAGTCATGGGGGAGATCGGGAGGCGAAGAATTTGGGTAATGAATCTTCGCGACGCGCGGGTAGATGTCAGAAAGATCAATGTTGTTGGGCTCTTCTACTTTTTTTATGGTACATTTTATTTGATTTTTTCTCGACCTCGACACGTCTTGGCATGCCGCTTTTCCAATGCACGCGACTCTCTTGAATGTATGCATGCACTCTTAAAATATGATCTATCGCATGGATCAATATGCACATTTTCCGATCGTCCAATTATACACAGCAAAGCGAGGCCATTATATAGCTGCAACTATCATCGTGTCTAACGAGGATTCTACAAGGAATACAGTAGGAAGGCTTTACACCAGGTCATGCGTCAACCAGTGAGGTTTACTAAATTAGGTACTCAGTGTGTGTTTTTTGTTTCTTTTTGGGTTCATTCGTCAAGTTATCGTGAGAGTGATGAACTTAGATCCACTTCTCGGGCAACAAAGTAAACACGCTTCGTGCCGCTAACTCCACAACTCTTTCCGCAGGCTCAGCGTACATCCAAGGCAATACGGACGGATATAAGATACGACCAGGTGATTCACCCAAAATGTCGCGCACTATCCACTCAAAGCTAACGGGGGGGGGGGAAATAGCAGGTCGGCCATGAAAACACGAAAGGGCTAACGGATTAGGAAATGGCTCATGGTTCTAGCCGTTTAGTTGCCCTTGGGGGCTTCCTTGACATCCATGGCACGCTCCTCACCCATAGCAGTGAGGACGATGACGTCTGTATATGGTGAGCGATGTGAACCGATAGGTACGGAGAATCCCATGATAACTTACTGCAGTCCTTCTCGTCATCACGGAACATCTTGGAGATTCTGTCTCCAACGTCATCCTCGGGGAGCTTGACGTCGTCCTTGGTGTTGCCGGCCTCATCCATGAGGGACAGGAAGTCGTCATCGGTGATATCCAGCTAAGAGCGACATGTCAACCGAAACGTTCGAATCTCCGACTCAGGCGGAGGGGAAGACGACTCACCAGCTGGTACTCCTTACGGTAGACGTTGGGGACGTCCATGTTGTGGGTGGAGGGAGACAGATCTTCGTACTTCTTGGCGGTGAAGATGTCCAGAGCGACCAAGTGGACCTTGGCGTGACCGTGCTTGCCAGTCTTGGAGGTGGACATGTCGACGATCTTGCAGGGACGTCCCTTGATGACAACGTGACCGTTCTTCCTCAGAGCAGAGCACTGCATGGGGAAGGTGGTGGAAGCACCAGCGTCCGCGGACTCGAAGGTCTCACCCTAAACAGAACAAAGGAATTAGCCATGATGACGAAAGTCTTGACCCCATGCTGCGACACATGGGGGGAGGAGAATGGATGCGTAAATGATCAGAGATCCAATGTGTGAGTAGGTCGGAGGGGATCTCAAGATGCGGGGCCGGAAGCACCCAACAGAGTGCACGCAGAAAATGCGAGAGGGAAGATATAGTGGGATGGGAGGTTTATACGTACGTGATCAGCCATGACGAAGGATTGTTTTGTAAAAAAACGAAAAAAAAATTAGAAAGAATTCAAAAGGGAAAGAGTGAGGAGAGATGGAACGAGATCCAAGGAGAAGATGGAGGAGAAGGAGGAGGTTTAAGAGAGGGGAGAGAGGAGGGGAGAACGAGAGAAAAATCGACAAGCCTTAGAGAAGAAATAATCGGTTTCTTCCAATCGCTGCCGCCAAAAAAAATTGTACCAAAAAAAAAAAAAAAAGAGGGCAATTTTGTTGTGGCGGGGTTACCTCGAGGACACTAAGCTGGTTTGGGACTAGCCTAGGTTGTTTTGCACCCGCACAGGTCAGCTGACTCAGTTCTTTACTAATCAAAGTGCACTAGTACCAAGTAGGTTAGATCCGTGATAGATAACCAGGCTAACTACTTTGGGACATATATCAATGCCTGAGGCTTACGTAGTAAGTGTTCAGTTCACGCTTATCATTCAACTCCCCCCGACTATCTCCATGCGTCAATGGTCCACGATCCATGTCCTTGAAATTATTGTCTTTTCACCTTAGCGATTATTGATGATTGCTGTCTATTGACCACCCACTAATCGTCCTTATCCTTCCGCGCTGATCCCTACGCCCACCCCCCTCGTCTACCTCCCCCCCATGAGTTCCCACCATGTGGCTTGACCGCATCTCCGGCCATTCGAGTCCCTCGAGTCCTCAGGTCGACAGTCGCAGCAACTCCCCTCTTCCCCTCCCTCGACGGCCGTCCTCGCGTCCCTCCCCGTATGCGCAGAACAATCGTTCCGGATCGAGCCGCCAAGGATCGTCTCTCTCGGTTCTCCTGAACCCCAACGACTCGAACACGTCCCTCCCCGCACTGCCCCGTGCCAACGATGGATCGACGTTGAAACACGGCGCCGCAAAATCCCGTCCGTCGGACGTGGCGGATCCCCTTCAGGTGCTGGATTCCATCTTAGGGAAGCAGAGGGCGGAGGCTGAGAAAGATGACTTGTTCGACGAGAGACCGTCGCGGCTGGTCAAGGACATCGACTTTGGGGGCTTGAGCTTGGAGGAATTTGCAGCGCAGGAGGAGACACCGAGAAAGATCATAAATAGTGACGTGGGGACGCAGACACTCCAGCAGTTCGAGCAGGAACGAGACAAATTCCAGGAACTCCACACGGCCATCACCGGATGCGACGAAGTATCCAAGTCCGTCGAGATGTATCTGTCGGACTTCCAGAGCGAATTGGGAGCCGTGTCGGCGGAAATCGAGTCTCTCCAGGCCCGTTCCATCCAGTTGAATGGCATGCTGGACAACCGACGCCACGTCGAGCAGCTGTTGGGACCCGCCGTGGAGGAGATCAGCATCTCGCCTAAGGCGGTTCGACAGATCGCGGAGGGGCCCATCGACGACAACTGGGTCAAGGCGCTGAACGAGTTCGAAGCACGGACGACGAGCATCGAAGCCAAGGTCTCCAGCTCCAACAGTAGCAAAGCCATTGAAGACGTCCTACCGCTGCTGACGGAGGTCAAGAAGAAGGTCCGTCACTTCAAGGCTACTCTATGTGGCATGACTGACCAAGTCTATAGGCTGTGGAGAGGATCCGGGACTACCTTGTTTCTCAAATCCGAGCATTGAGGTCACCGAACATCAACGCCCAGATCATCCAGCAACAGCGTCTGGTCAGGTTCAAGGATCTGTACAGCTATCTTTCACGAGCCCACCCGACGCTGGCCGGGGAGATCACACAGGCCTACATCAACACAATGCGCTGGTACTATCTGACTCACTTTTCTCGCTACCTGCAAGCCCTGGAGAAAGTTAAAGTATACCCGAGCGATCGAAATGACGTTCTCGGCGGAGATCCTTCTGCCCACAAATCAGGTTCGTGTGTCGATTCCGCGACGATTTCAAGGACTAACAATTGCAGGAAATCTCGCTCCGGGTGGCCGGGCAGGCGCTGCGCACGATCCATTCTCCCTGGGACGGAGAGTCGACATCCTCCATACAGGGAACCACATGGCGATGTCGTCCTATCTGGCCGAAGAGGACGCCTCATTCCACGGCATCGAAGTGCCCTTCCGGAATTTTAACCTCGCACTTCTGGACAACGTGTCGGCAGAGTACTCGTTCATGACAGAGATGTTCTCGACGCTGTCATTCCACCAGATCTCCCGCAAGGCCACCGAGGTCTTCAACCCCGTCTTCACCCTGGGCCAGGAACAGTCGAAGCGACTGATCGAGAACACCAACGACTCGCTGGGTGTGCTCATCTGCGTGCGACTCAACCAACAGGCAGCGTTCGAGCTGCAGCGGCGGAAAGTACCCGTAGCCGATTCCTACATCAACGGCGTGAACATGCAGCTGTGGCCGCGCTTCCAGGTGCTCATGGACAACCACTGCGAGTCGCTGAAGCGGGTGGGGACGAACACAGGCCGCAGCGCCGTAGCGGCACTGTCCCTAGCCGGAGGCGACGACCTGAACCGGTCGTCAGCGCCGCACTTCCTAACCCAGCGGTTCGGACAGCTCCTGCACGGGATCCTGGCGCTGAGCAGCGAAGCCGGCGACGACGAGCCAGTGTCGAACAGTCTCGGCCGGCTGACAGCCGAATTCGACAGTCTGCTGGCGAAATTGAGCCGCATTGGCGGCGACGCCAAGCGACGGGAGCGGTTCCTCTCTAATAACTACTCGTTGATTTTGGCCATCATTAGTGTATGTTCCCTACTGTCTGATCCCCATAATGAATGATGCTGACCACCGCAGGATACCCAAGGGAAGTTGGCTACGGAGCAGAAGCAGGTATGTCATGTGTATTCCAGGGACTTGACGCATACTAACGATGACAGCATTTGGAGGAGATGCTCAAGGGAGTTGGGAAGCGGTAGATCTCGGAAGCTGTCGTCGAGATCTGGTGTACATAGACTGGATGACATTGGGATATATTATAATCTCGTAATAGAGCAACAATTGTGTACAGTGGGATGTATACTGCACATATGGACAATCATTATATGGGGTTTCTGTTTGTCTTCCTATCCTATATAAAAGTAATCACCAAATAGACCAGGAAGGCCATTCACACTTGACATGATGGTTGTCACTAATAGTAAGTAATGAAGGAGCTAATGACATGTATCAGGCAGGGGTCATCATGCACTAGTCCATGTAAGACTGTCTAATGAGTATCAGCAGTGCTTCCCCTGAAACCCTACAACAGTTGTTTCATCAACATCCGATAGCGACACATGATTATAGTGACTGACTCAATCTCTATCACTTTATATCTAGGCTATCAGATGGACAGTTCCAAAGCCTGGACTGCAGAATGGTTATACTCATCATTGTTATATCTATTGATGCCACTCTCACTCCCTATCATCTGTATTTCAGTCTAATCAAACCCTGCTTTAACCTCAATTTGCTCTACCGTATTTCCTTTCATTCAACATGATTAGCTCCTTCCACTACCTGCCTCTTTTACTTACTATAGCCGACTAACCATGAAACTCTTGGGTAATATCACCGACAAGGCCATACCTACCTTTTCGCAGCTAGAACAATAGCAACACCCAAACTTCTTTTGTTATTCTGATCCCGTCTATGGTTTAGCCATTCCTATCTTGGAAGTAACATGCCTAGGTGCGTACGTGCGAAGTCAAGCCGGCGACACCACTGTCATCGGGTAAGAAATACTGATATCTTGCTAGTACGGACCAGCCAAAAGAGATAGAAGCTGTGAGAATCAACTATTGTCACGCGGTGTTCCAGAGACAATTGGGAGAACAAACCAGATGATGGAAACCTATCGAAGATATAGGGCCGCATGGCTTCTTGGTACCTACTATTGACCGGAGAATAACCCCTCCAACAGAGCTAGCTCTAGACATCTCCCCACTGTTTTCGCTGCGTTCTGTATTGTTCCTTTCCACTGTCACTCTACAGATATAGTCTATGGAACAAACGGAGCGGAACCGTTGCAGATGTTGCCGCCTCCTGCTGGGACGCATCGTATCATTCTTTGAGAAGACGAGATGATTTCGGTATCCAGGTCTCCCTCCGTACAGAGAGAAGAGAATGATGGCGACATTTTACTAGAGCTAGCAAGCCTCGTGCCCAGCATCACAACGTTGCATTCAGGAAGACTGAGGCGGATGAGCTCCTGATAGATTGCTCTCTTTTGAAGAACGAAAGCGATACGAAACCTAGACGCGGCCATAGACCACAATGAGAACCCAGAATGGTTTTACTCAGATGGGGACTGTACGGAAGCGGGCAGTCACCCTATATTGAGGCATCAGCCATATCAAGCTTGATTAAATGCCGATGCATTATTTTGGTGCAGGGACCGATATATGACAAGGCAACGCCTTGCCCTTGCTCTCCTGCTAAAGCCAAAGCCAGAGATTACTCTGCCTCTTTCCTACCCCCCCAGTTTCCTTTTTCATCGCAAATTTGTTCTCCACGTACTCTACCTTGTCTTTCCTACCGGGTCTCTCGACATATCGCTGTCTGCTTCCACTCGTCGATCTCCACAGGCGAAAGAAACCCCCAGATCGAGATGACTTGAGCTGTTCAATGTGGCTTGGACAGGCTGGCTACGCAGGACAAAAGACCTAAAAAAGCCCAAGAGCCCAAGAAAGAGACTATAACGAAATATATTCGCACTGAGATAGGGTTATACAAACCCAAGTGTCATGGTATCTTTTATGGCCTAGTGATAACGTCCCGCTGGGCATCTGACCTGAACAAACGCATCCCATGCAAGCCTTCATCTTCTGTCCTTCGTGTACCCCTGAGTACTGAAGCCCTAGTTGAAAGAGCTTGATGAGGCTTTTGACCAGGTCATTGAAGCTGGTCGAAATCACAGAACTTGCCCTTCGTTCGACAGTCTCACTTGTCTGTGCACGTGGAAGTCATCCAGACCCATCAGGTTGATGTTCGTTTACTACACTGGACTTTACATTCGCAGACTGGTGACCAATAATTTCATTAAGCCAACGAGATTTTTGATCTATGTGGAACTGGATAAGGAAATGTGTGGTGATGCCTCGGTCAGAACCAAGTTGTACTCAGTTTGCAGTCTTCATGATACAGTAGCTTAATATAAGATTACTGACGAAGCGCAAGACTCATATCTTCTGTAGCCGAGTGATATGCCTTTTCCATAGATAGGTATACTTTTATACGCAAGCTATCCTCAACGATAGTAGTTATATAACTCATCCCAAACAGCCCAATAAACACCTCATTAACTTTATCCAAACGAACCAACCGCTCAAACCAACCTTTCCAACAACAAACAGCCAAATCAATCATAAAAATATCAAAAGAAAAAAAAGTTAATACCCCCTAAGAGCCACCCGCTCCCTCAAAACCTGCATCTCCCTCTCCCCCGCAATAATCGAAACCCCGTAAAGCCTACCATCCTCCGGACCCCTCAAAAAGCTCTCCCCCTGAGGATCCCCCCAAACCACAACCCTCAAACACCCACAATACTCATCCGCAAACCACAGTGCCTCCTCCTCTCCCTCACGCACAACCTGCATCATCTCCTGGCCCCCATCCCCACCCACCATCACCTCCCGCAGGTCCTCCCCGGGGTGTTCCTCGCGGTACTTGTCCACGCTGAGCCCGTTGCACCGTGCGCTAGGCATGTGCAGCACGTCGTGGAGGGTGAGCTTGTGCGGGCGGGGGTCGTTCGGGGCGCGCTGCACGGTGAGCTCGACGGTGCCGATGCCGAGGACGCGTCTGTGGGAGATCTTGCAGGGCGCGCGTCGGTAGGTGCTGAATGTTGCGCGGTTGCGGGCGTAGTGTGTGTTGCCGCCTGTTAGGAGCCAGTCCCAGCATCTGTTGTAGGTGTTTTTGTTGGAGGAGTGGGTGGTTTTGTTGTTGGTTTTGTTGTTGGTTTTGGTGTGCTGGTGTTGGTTGTTTTTGTGGTGGTGGGGGGGTTTGGAGTAGGGAGTGTAGTGGGGTGGTTGTTGTTTTGTTGAGTTGGGCATTTTACTTTGTTTATTAAATCATTTGTATAGAGTTGATTTGCTGTTGATGTTGCTGCTTTTATCCCGAGTGAGGAGTAAGAGGTACCCACGTGTAGGTGGGATATAGAGATAGAAGGAAAGAGATAGTATGGTGATGTGAGAGAAGATGGGTAGATGTATAGATGTACAACGAGAGTCAATTACCTGTAGGAATGAGACGGCACAATAACGATTGACTTAAAAACACTCCTACAATAATTAGGGCAGAGAAATTGAAGCGTGGAGTATAGTAGACAAGGGGAGCTTTTATTCAGTGAGGTCGTGATGTCAGAGGCGAATCGTCTTCTTGGTTACCAATTGTGTTGCTTCCACTCTTCTTAGCTCAGCGATCTGGATCTTTCTTTTTCTTTGATTTATTATTATTATTTGTTTTTGATTGGTGGTTTATCACTCGTAAGCATTTACCTAGCTCGAGTCCATCTAGTCTAGACAGTCACTAAAAGATAGGCAAATACAGCAATGTACGATTCTATGTACATCGATATACTAAGGCTGTCTACTTCCATGAAGTATCCCCTCCACCCGCTCAGCAATCGCCAACGAACTCGTCAACCCCGGACTCTCGATCCCCAACAGATTCACAAACCCCGGAAACCCATCCTCCTCCTGGATGATAAAATCCTGGAACCCCGTCCCGGAGTTCACAGCCCCCCCACGGCCCAACTTGGGCCGAATCCCACAGTAGTCCAGCGCGATAGCATCGGTGTCAACGCCCGGCAGGTAGGCGCGGATCTCCCCCAACGCCTGCTGCAGACGGTCGGGGCTGGGCGTCAGGTCATCCGCACTGTCCACCCACTCCACGTCAGGACCAAACCGGAGACGCCCGCCCATGTCCAGCGTAAGATGCGTGCCGAGGCCGCCGTGGCCGGGCAGCGTAGCAGGATAGACCAGCACGGAAGTCTTGGGCCGCGACGCCGCGTACGAGAAGTACGTGCCCTTGGCGTAGTACGGCGTGCGGTGGCGGTCATCCGGCAGCACCATGTTATTGATCGCGCAGGCGAAGTTGCCCGCACTGTTGATGAGCGTCTCCGCTACAATCGACGTCGTCTCGCCGCCCCCGCTGCCCGACTGCGCCGTGATGCGGTACCCGTCGCGCCCGCCGTTCAGCGCCTCAATGTCCGTCACCCGCGTCAGGAACGCGCAGTCGCCGCCCCGGTCTTCAAAGTCCCCCTGTAAATATGTCATCAGCGAGTGGCTGTCCACGATGCCCGTCGTAGGGCTCTCCACGATGCCCGCTAGCGCCTGCACGTCGGGCTCGCGATGTTGCGCCTCTTCGCGTCCGACGAGCCGCGTTGGAACCCCGATGTCTTGCGCGTGTGCGTGGACCCGCTGTGCGGCTGCCCATTGTTCTTCTGTCTGTGCGACGATCCACTTTTTGGTGTTGATGTGCGGGATGCCTTGGCGCGCGCAGAGGTCGTACATCATTTCCTTGCCGCGGATGCAGAGGCTTGTTTTTAGCGAGTCGCGTCCGTAGTATAGGCCGGCGTGGATGACCTGGGGGATGTTAGATTCTCCTCTTCTTCCTTCCCCTAGTTTAGAGTACACACCTCTGAATTGCGACTACTCGTCTCTGTCCCCGGGGCATCATGTCTCTCCAGGAGAATAGTCGACGTTCCTTCCCGCGCAGCCAGCTGCCGCGCTACCGCGAGTCCGACCACACCGGCGCCAACAACCTTCTCTCATCAGCATTCATCTCTTCCAATGCCTAAAAAAGAGAGGGGGAAATACCGCATGCGTAACATCCGCCTGAACAGGGCGCGCACACGAGAACCAGCGGGGTCGCGCGGCGACACGCAGACGCCTGGAAAAAGAAAGACACGGACGGGCGGCCATAGTTCATGCAATGATCCTTATCGAGGAATAAAGACGGTCATTGCCTCGCCGGGAAAAACAAGAGGGCAAGGTATGATAGTTGTAGGTAGGACCGAATCAATCAGGTCGTAAGGAGGACAACTAGGATAAGCTCGGCTCGTGGGCGACGATCGGCCGGGGTCGGCGCCGATTCCGACTGATAAGGACGGCCATGGTAAATACTTTATAAGTAGGTCCAATGATGCGCTTGACGATGCACGATCATAAAACCCGGATCAATCTGGCTGGTCCTTTATAGGCCCGGAATATGCGATACTAATCATCCATTGCGAGTTGCTTCGTCAGGATGACATACAGACATATCACGTGATACATAGACAGGTGAATCATAAACATCAAATCAATTGAACTCCTCTCTTGACGGTTTTTTTTTCGACTCAACCTGTTCTTTTCGTGTAAGGGACTGTGATGAGATGACATGCCGTGCTATGGAGAATGTACCGCAGAGCTTAAACCCTCTGGAAGGAACATCTCTGGTATTCTGAGTCCTTGATGAGAATAGGGATGGTTCTACCAGATTATTAGAAGTGTCTGTATGTATATTGATCCAGGCTAACGATGTACTAGGGATATAAATCCGGGCCCTGCCAACTAGGGGACGGCCTGTGAAAGTGAGGGAAACAGTTCTAAAACCGCCAATAGGGATCTCTCTCGTCCAAAGAGCAGCCTCTGATATCCCAGTATAGAGACTTGGCTCTTAGAAAGGCTCCTGGGACTACAAATAGACATGATTCTAGTCGATCGCACCCGTATCCCAAGATAATAACTCATTGCCAAACAGATCATCATGGAAGAGACGAAGCCCGCGCGAAAGATTCCCCATGCTCCACTTCGCCGACTTTTCCAAAAGTCTCTCATACTTTCTCAAAACGTGTCGTGCCGACAGGCAGCCACTCGGGAGGGGAACGCCGTCCATGGACACCGTGCCACTGTTGCGGATGAAGTTGATTGCCAGGTTGTCCGACGGCTCGGGGTCCACTATGCTGGCGAAGCACTCCGTGCCCAGTGTCGGCCACTGAAGATCGTTCAATAGTTCGATAGATGTGCTACCGGCTGGCGGAGCCTTGGGCTCGGGCACAGTGAGCTTGTAGAGCGCCAACACCAGCGCCGCGAAGAATAAAGAAGATTCCGAGTGAAACAGCAGGTGTTTGGCGCCCATGTCGTTCGCGATAGCTTTGTGAATGGCTTTGTAGATGTGCGCCGCGTGCAAACAGGCCCGTCGGGCTGCCGGTGTCTGCGACCATGCTTTGATCTGTCTGAGGGAGGTCTTACGCACGGAAGTGGGCACGTTCCTTTCAGAAGCCCGGATGAAGAGCTGTAGGTCGGCCGTGAGGGTCATGCACATGATGTGCCACATGATAGCGACGTTGGGATTTAACCGCTCCAGGACGTCACCGTACTGGTGGGCGATCTGAATCTGGAGCGATAACAGACAACGCGCGCGGCTGTCTGTCGCGAATACGTAACCTGGAACAAAAGGCTGGCTGGCACGGTTCAGCAGTAAGCGATGGTAGGCCTCCGACTGCCGGAGCTGTATCATGGCCAATACTCCGTACATGCAGACGTCATCTACTGGATTGCCTAACGAGGGAACCTTGATGCTCTCCAACGAAGTCAGCACGATTGGTTGCAGAAGGTTGCCCTCGCCACCGATGAGCTCCCACTGCCCAGAGGTGTCGGCCTCGAATAGAACTTGATTGTTCGGGGGAATGAACTGAACGGACCCAGGCGTGATGATGGGCGTCCGACACAAACGCCACGAGTACCAAGAGTCCAGCAACAAGAGACCGACGATCATGCTGGACAGATCAGAATCAGAAACCTTTGACTGACGAGGCTACCAACTGACCGCTTTGCAGATTCGACTCTGCCCCAGGCCTTCCATCTGGCATCACGGTCCTGGATTGTTTTCGACAGATTCGTGTTGGGTATTTGCCCATCGATGGAGGCAAAAAGGCCGTGATCTTGTGCGATCTAAGAGTATGTTAGTTGGCTAGGGCGAGGCAGTAGGAGTGGTCCACATACCGAGATCAAATCAACCCAAAGCATTGTGCTTTTCTCGATATGTTCCTGTTTATATCAAATTTAGTTTCTTGCTTGCTACAAAATGGATATAAGATTGAAAAAAGAGAAAAAGAGAGAGAGAAGGTTACTTTTGTAAAAACCACCATATTCAAGAAAAGAAAGGCGGTTGCAAAGATTGACAAGGTGCTCGGTGTGCTGTCATTACCGGCAGAGGCAGAGCATTTGGCCAATTCAGCCTTGATCATTCTCAAGAAGGGCTAAGATGATCAGCTTTCGTTCCATCGAACCAGGACTGGCACATACCAAATAACTCCTACGGACGAAGTTGAGGGCCTCTTTGGTCCCCAGCACGACCATGCCAGTGAGACACATTGTGTACAGGAGCAACGGCGGGGCGTTCTTCGCCGAAAACGTCGGAAGATGGATAAAGGGTAATGCAGGGTGAAACTGGCGAATGAACAGATCCAACCCTTGGTTTAGGACGTCCGTCGGAGGGAAGGCAGAGGGAGCGCCGAATGGGGTGGTGGAAACCCCTTCGCAAAGGGCAGCCTGGAGCTGTTGCCGGCATTTCTCATCGACGTTATAGCGTGTGCCCTGTAGTGAACCGTCTTCATTGTCATCCGGTTTTTGTGCCAAAGGAATGGAAAAGATATTGTCGAGTGTGCTGCTGGCCACGTTCTCCCAGAGACGGTTCCTGAGCTGTGCCGTGTGATCGGATTGCCCTTGGCCGCCGGTGAGAACGGGGTCAGAGGAGGGCATATCGTCTGAATTGAGGCAGGCCTGTTCGTTTATAACTATGGGATTGTACTCAAGGCGAATATCCTCAGGTTCAATATGTGCTTCATAGCAGTAGCAGAAGGTGTCCGTGAAGGGTAGGCCGCGTGCACTGGCGACGCCAATAAGTCTCATCCGTTCTTTCCTTTCTCGGGGATCCTTCCACTGACACAGTACAGTTGCAAATGAACAGTGATCTGATGAGTATATCCAATCTTGGTCACTGCACCAAATGGCAGTTTGGGAGGGTTTGGATTTACTGCCATACCATATTGTACTCTTTTGCAAAGACGATCTCATCCGATTGACGTCGGTATAAACTTATAATCGGGAATAGCTATTTGCAACGGCCGGCCCTCTATGCTGAGTACCCAGATTTTGCTCTATCATGGACTTAAAATGTAGGAACTGTGGTCATGTATTGGGGGAAAAGCATCACCTTCAACAGCATGGACGGGCTCGTTAGTCTTTTCTCTGCTTCCTCCTATGTAGAGTCTACTGACCCTTGGCTATAATGTCCCAGACAGAGGGGAAACATTCAAATGCGATGTGTACCATAAACCGTTCGTTCGTAAGTATGTCATCTTCTTGCAATCCATCTCATACAAGCCAGCTTTCAAAGATATCTTTGTATTTTCAAGAACACTATATTCGATTTATCATGGCACACTTACGGAGGAGATACTACGTAGATAGTATAAAGTGGAGAACTCGTCGCCCCACCGTGATCGTTGGGGTTCGATTTGCAGTGCTAGTCTGAACATGGACTACAACAAGTCCATTTCCACCTCTCGAACATATCAAAGTATCGAGTGGATCGACATGTTAGAGCGTTCAGGGTCAATTGGCATAAACAATTCCCGAGATCTCCCTACCCGATGTCGGGCCCGTCCTCGGCATCGGGAGGCGGCATTCACGACTCGCAGGGCCCGGATAATCGCTTTGTCGGTGGAATCTTGACATGGATAATATAATACATCTTTCTTTCTCCTCTCTTCTTCCCTTCCTTTTCTTTCCCCTCTTTATCCAGTTAATGTTCAATTGATATTGAACAACCATGGCCAGGCCCATCCTCCCCACAGCGGTCCGTCCGCTCTGGCGACGGACCTTCTCAATAACCGCTTCCCAACGCGCAATCGATAAAATATGCGCCTCCGCCCCAGAGGCAATCCGGGAAATGAAAGGCTCGTCGACCGTCCTCTGCGGCGGCTTCGGCTTCTCCGGCGTCCCCAACACGCTCATCAACGCCGTGCGCGATCGTCCCGATATCACCGACCTGACCGTCGTGTCCAACAACGCCGGCATGCCGGGTAAAGGACTCGGCCAGCTTCTCGAGACGGGCCGCATCTCCAAGATGATTGCCTCGTTTATCGGCGAGAACAAGGTGTTTGAGAAAATGTATTTGAGCGGTGATCTCGCGCTCGAGTTGACGCCTCAGGGCTCGATCGCGGAGAAGTGCGCTGCGGGCGCTGCTGGTGTTCCTGCTTTCTATACCCCTGCTGCTTATGGGACGATTGGTACTTCCCTCTCCTTCTCTCTCTTCTCCCTCACATAACATGTATCATATCATACTAATGAAGTAGTCCAAACCGGTGCCCTCCCCATCCGCTACAACAAAGACGGCAGCATCGCCGAGACATCCCAGCCCAAAGAAACGCGCCAATTCAACGGAAAGAACTACCTGCTCGAAGAATCCATCTTCGGCGACTACGCGCTCGTCAAGGTGCACAAAGCCGACAAGCTCGGCAACTGCACCTTCCGCAAAGCAATGAACAACTTCAACGAAGCGATGGCCAAAAACGCAAAGTACACCGTCGTGGAAGCGGACCACATCGTTGACGTCGGCGAGCTTGCCCCCGAAGATATTCATCTGCAAGGGATCTACGTGAACAAGGTTATTCAGAGCGAGGGCGGCGCGCAGATCGAGAAGTTGACGATTGCGCGCGATCCCGAGGAGATGCTCAAGGGTGCGGACTCGGAGGTGACGGCCAGGCGGGAGCGGATTGTGAAGCGCGCTGCCAAAGAGTTCCGTGATGGCATGTATGTGAATCTGGGCATTGGGATGCCGCTGATTGCGCCGTCGTACCTTCCTGAGGGCGTGGAGGTTATCTTGCAGGCTGAGAACGGCATCCTCGGGCTAGGCGGCTACCCTTCCTCGGCTGAGGAGGCCGACCCGGACTTGATCAACCCCGGCAAGGAGACCGTCACGCTCAACGGCGGCGCCTCGGTGTTCGGCTCGCACGAGAGCTTCGGCATGATCCGCGCAGGCCGCATCGACCTGACCATGCTGGGGGCGCTGCAGGTCAGCCAGTACGGCGATCTGGCGAACTTTATGCTCCCCGGGAAGGTCAAGGGCGTCGGCGGTGCCATGGATCTTGTGGCCAACCCTGAGAAGACCCGCGTGGTCGTCACCATGGAACATACGGATAAGAAGGGCAATTCGAAGATTCTGCCTGAGTGCACGTTCCCGCTGACGGGGCCGCGCTGTGTGTGGAAGATCATTACCGATCTGGCGGTGTTTGAGGTTCATCCGACGGAGGGGTTGACGCTGGCGGAGCATGCGGAGGGAGTTACTGTTGAGGAGATTCGGAGTAAGACGTTGGCGCCGTTTGTGGTTGCTGACGATTTGAAGTTGATGTAAAATGACGTGCATGTATATACCATAGATTATGAATGATTCCATACCTTCAATAGTGTACTATATTTTGATAAAGAAGGCGATACTTGTTACATACAGTAAAGAAGAGGAATCACCACTCAACTACAAAACATCATAACAATTGAGCTTCAAGTAACCCATACTATATTCAATGCAACGTCTATACTAGAATTCAGACTCACCATACCCTGGAAATCCGGCTGTAGAGCAATACTCCCCTCGGGGCCATTCCCCATCAAATCACGGATATAGTAGGGCTACAACAAATCCCGCCGACCACCGGATAATGAAACAGCCGCCCCTACCTATCTACCCACTCTAGGAACCAGCCAGTATATTATATTAAGGCACCTACATAATACCTATAAACCCCGGGAATCCTCTTATAAACCCCATACAAATAAATATATTATATCCTCTGTATTGAATCCTATCGGATATCTCTAAGTATATAGGTAGGTACTCAAGGTAAGATAAAGTAAGGTAAGGTAAAAGCAACCAATCCATACAATTAACTGCCTACCCATGACTATCATACGTGTAGTCAACCACTAGAGGTTAGCAATTACTACTACAGAGCTAGATAAAATCTTTGTGGAGTATCTGTCTATAGTAACTGATATAATGTCTATGAACAAAGAGTTTCATTAGGCAACTCGCACCATGGGTTGACTGACTCACTAGCTCAGAGTCACTTGATTCTTCAAGCCTGTTAATGTGGCAAGGTCCAAGTCTCTATAATATATTAATATGCCCACTACTAAATAGGGATGATCTACGATATACGAGTATACAGATAATCCGTGAGGAAGTCATAAGTCTATATTACACTCGTCTCAAGCAAAGTACAGGATACGAGGGTAGAGGATGAGATAGGAGAGGAGAGGAGAGGATAGAGATGGGTAGGGATAGGGATGGGGATGAGGATAGGCGTAGGACAAGAAGATAGAAGGTGGGGGGAGACTTCATAACTTCCTCCTTCTCGTAACGTGAACAAAGCATGAAAAAGGAAGAAAAAGAAAAAGGAAAACCCGTGACATCCGAACAACTTTTGAATCTCCGATCCCATTTGACTCTGCAATTTCCCCCCTTCTTCCATTCATGCGATCGATCGATCCGTTCGAGTGGTATCACCGTCTGTGCTGGAACTGTGCATGGCCCATGCTGTGCACATACAGTCAGACATCGTAAAGATCACTCAATACGAGCCGGTGATACCGCAAACAAAGAACGTTTGGAAACCGAGGGATATCAGGATCAGGAGAGAAGGTAACGGAAAAAAAAAGAAAAAAGAAAAAAAAAAAAGAAAAAAAATAAGATAATGAAATGGAGATGGAAGATAAAAAAAAAGGGAATAAGATAAAGGTAAGAAAATCATCGTTAATTCGAGCAAGGGTAGGTCATCATCAAAAAAGCGATCGGTGAGTCAGAAATATCTCCCGAGGAGGGCAGAACGGCAGACGCCGAACTACTTTTCATCACACGTTGAGATAGAATCTACGACTTGTTCTCCTCCGTGGAAGCTTCCTTGGCAGCCTCCTTGGGCTTAGCCTCGGCCGTCGCTTCACCATCACCCTTGTTCTTCATGTACTCGTCATAAACGCTGAGGGCCTCGTCGACCTTGGCGCGGAGAGCCTCATCATCATCAAGACTATGCAATATTAGCATGATCCATGCATGGACGAGAGTTATAAAGGAGAAACTTACAGGCCAAGCAGCTCAGCGTTATCCATCTCCAAAAGCATGCCAGTGATCTTGCCTGCCAACTCAGGCTGCTGAGACTGGATCTTGGGATAGAGTGCCTCACCCAGCATCTGCTTCTGCTGAGGGGCGGGCATAGCAGCGATGTTCTGGCTGCTGGTGGCGGCGGCGGCGGCCTCCTCCGGACGACCCGCGGCGGGCTGACCGGCGTTCTGTCCGCGACCACCCTGGGGACGGCCCATCTGGGGGGGCATACCACCGCGACCCTGGCCAAAGCCGGGGCCACCACGCATACCCTGACCCATGGGCATACCAGGGACCTGACCACGGCCACCAGCACCGCGACCGAACTGCACACCCATCTGGGGGTAGCCCATGCCGTTAGGGATGCCACCGGGACCCATGGGCATACCCTGGGGGAAGTTGGGAGGCAGCTGCTGGCCGGGGCCCATACCGCGTCCACCCTGCTGGCCAGGGAAAGGACCGGGGTACTGACCGGGACGTCCACCAGGGATACCCATCATCATACCGGGTTGGGGAGGGAAAGCCATGCCACCACGCTGGCCACCAGCGGGAATGAAGCCCTGCTGACCAGGTCCGTAGAAGACGGCGGGTTGCATGTACT